ATTTGAGCTAATTTGGTCAAATTTGATGATACGCCGTGCAATGCAAAATATAATCGGGATCTGAATTTATTGTGAATTGCTATTTTTTTCGCCATCTAATTTGGTGCGATTGTCTTGAAAGTCGGGGTGCACCAAATTATTTCACTGACCAATTGCCTAAAATGAACAGGAAGTTGTTGATTTTGAGGCCATAGTTACTGTATTCTGTCGTTGTACCGAGTGCCCTTAAATTCTCCCCATATTTATTGCCACGAAGTTTTTGGAGCGATGTCACTTTCCGCTTGCAGCTGCATCACATTTCAAAATGGGAGAATTAAAAGTGTCAGCCGTTGCTCCAAATAAAAGAATCTTTTCACAACTGCATGAGCTACTACTCACTCGTCATTTTTACTTAATGGCTGCCCATTAATTCACTGACTTGAGTTATTCGTCGGCTTTGCTGTGTGTGTGTGTGTGTGTGTGTGTGTGTGTGTGCGTGTGTGTGCGTCGCCGCCAATATGTCCATTGACAGCAAATAATTCAAGTGAACTTCTTCAAGTGCTCGCTTCAGCTGTGTGAAGTCCGCCCTGCTGGCAAACATTTGTCGCGCTTGAGACGGGAAAAGAATGGAACGCGGAGCTGTCACTGTTGATGGAAGCGAACATCACGGCTACAAGTGTCTTTCGAGACCAACATGAAGCCAGAACATGTTTATATTTGGCTTTTGTTGTTGCTCCACTCCCTCGTGTACATCTGCAAAGAGTATTTCTGCGGCGCTAGCAAACAGCTCCCACCGTGTCTGTGTGTGTATGCGTGTGCGTATTTGGTGTATTGGCAAATATATGCTCTGATAGCAAATTCATTATTTCCCCCCTTTTCTCTGAACTCATCTAAGGCATTTGTAATGACTTTTTTGGGTTTTGTCACAGCTTGAAATAGCCACAGTGGCCCGTGGGAGGGCGTGTACTGTACTTTAGGTGTCTGATGTTCATTACGCAACATTACAAAGCAGATCCATATTTACATGTGTTTGCAGTTTGTGTCACAATAATTGTGCCTCTGTAGCGTACAGTATTATAAACATGGATAGTAAGTGTAAATATTGGGGTCAAATGAATATTTTGAAGGACCTAAAGGTGACCCCTGTGGGATGCCAATGGGCATCTTCTGCACTCTGAGCTGCCCAATGTGAAATCTTATTATATCATACTACTATAAGCATTCTATTGGCTACAGTTAGTTACGACTGTATATTTGATCGATGTAAATCGACTGGTGATTGACATCATGTCCTTTTGAAGGAAAGAACCAGGGTTCATATTGTAGGAGCATCTGGCTTGGATTAAATCTGTCTTGATTCAATTTGAATAGATTTTTTTTTTCTCCAAAAACATTTGTTATTGAATTTAATGTTTATTAGTATCCAGCTCCGGTTTGTGGTTTTCGGAAATAGACTTTAAACATTTGCCAGGCTCTCATTTTTCTGCACTAGAGTATGTGATGGTGCCACGTTGGTCAACTGCTTAGCACGTCCAGCTCACAGCGCAGAGGTGCAGGGTTCGATTCTGGCCCCGGCCTTCCTGTGTGGAGTTTGCATGTTCTCCCTGTGCCTGCGTGGTTTTTCTCTGGGTACTTTCCTCTCACATTCCTAGAACATGCATAGCAGGTTAATACTCTAAATTGTCCCATGGTGTGGTTGTGCGCATGAATGGTAGTTCATCTTTGTTTGCCCTGCGATGGGATGCCAACGAGTTCAGGGCCTACTGGGATAGGCTCGGCCCCGACCCTCGTGAGGATAACGTGGATTAGAAAATGGATGGATGGAGAGAGTATGTGATGGCTTTAACGCTGGCCATCAAAGTGACATTTTTCCTTGCTTTTTCCAACAAACAGTCATCATGCAGACGTCACCATGCAACTAATTATGCAGAGAAACTGAAATCTAAAACCCGAAATTCCCTGCCCAGGGAGCTTTGTGTTTAAGGCAAATGTCACATGTAATTATCTGAACGTGTAAAGTCGCAACGACTGTGTGAACCCTGTTGGCTGTGGAGTCGGGTACAAATGAATGCCGATCATCGCGCCGCCGATGTCCCGTGTGAAAAGCACTTGTGTTCACAACGCCTGTTAGCTGCTAGCCCGAAAAAAATGATTGGAAAAACAGTCCAGGAGAAAAAGATTATTTTCCAAGAAGAATCAAGGTCGTCTCCTCCAAGAGCTCACTTTCCTCCACATGATGACAACACCACCTGGAGCTCAGCTTGTCTACCTGCAACCCCCCCCCGATTTCCTCCACAACTCCATAACAACTAGTCTTTCAAGTTGTCTTTGTCAGCATTCAAGAATCTCACGTGCGGTTTGGAGCCTTTCTCGAATGCAGCACAATTAAGAAGAAGTGAAGCTAATGAAAAATATAACCCGTCGAGTTGATGACTCCCCAAATAGGAGCCATATGCTTCCCCTAGTAAAGAAAAAAAAATCTCTTTTTGTTGACCCAGAGTCAATTAGCTCCTCGGCGAGTGTGAGATTCTGCCAGCCGCGATATCCGTCAATCACGTGCGCGCAAATGACTGAAACGAGGCGCTGATGTGTTTATTGCGCACAAACACATCAAACAGACCACAGTACACATTGGCAACGAAACAATGGCGGCGACGCACAACAATGGAGAGACCAAGGACCTGGGGCATACGTACAAAAAGGTGGCGTGACATGCCTTTCCTCGCTCACGTTCAGATGTATGCAAGAGTGAAATGACCAGTGGAACGTGCGGTGCTCTACGCTAACTACTTGGATGGCGGGTGCAGTGGCGTGCAAAACACAGTAGCATCACTGCCCCCCTGGCCACCCCGAAACTTTTTTTTTTTTTTTTTGGTCAACAGAGGTTTAATAACCAAGTGATGCCGCTTGAACAGTTTTTCGGGCCTCGTCTTTGTTTCCGAGTATCTCCAGCTCACATTTTCTGAAGTTCTTCTTTTTTTCTTGGTGACTCATGACTTGATAATCAGATTTGTTGATCAGGGAGGGTGATCATTCCCAGCAGCAGGCCTTGTTTAGACTAATTTGTATATTTATAGAGTGCCGTGGAGAGCGAGGCATCTGTTACTCCCAACATTTCCACAATGATTGAGATGTACAAAAGTAATGTGCTTGGATTCATGCGTACGCACATACGTTTTTGCATATGTTTTGCACATTGTGCACCACTAGAAACAACGATCGGACAAAGACTGAAAGTATGCAGGCAACTAAATACAAACAAAACTGACAAGACAATGAGGAGCACCTGGACAAGACACGAGTGGCGGTGGGAGCTGAGAGGCCAACACAATTAAGGAACCGGGTTGACAACAACGGGTGGACGCAAAAAACAACCACAAAAAAGACATACAAGACATAAAAACTAACACAGGGTAAATGTCATCAAAGTACAAATCAAAGCCACATACACAAAAACACGAATATTGACACTGCCTGGATTTGAACAGGAAGTCTGCTACTTGAGTTTGAAGCGGCCATTTGTTCAAAACCTTTGCTCCTGACACCAGTTTTATCACTCAACACAGAATTGGGTGCAAGTCTTATAATGTGATGCTTGAAAAAGCCTCAACAAGACATGGCCCAAATTGAGCAGGAAGTCGGACATTTTTGTTTGAAGCAGAAGTTTGGAGCCACTCATACATCGATAAACTTCGACGAAGAGTTTGACCAAATCAGGATTGGGCAAAGGGTCAGGTTAATTTGGATCTGAATGGAAACCAGCAGAGAAGTAAATTTGGGGATAATTTGTACTTGTCAGAGTAGTCATGCAAAATATATCATTCTTATTTTTTTTTTTTTACATGGAGCAACATTCTTTTTGCTACTCATATTTTATCGACCGTACGTGTGTACTTTATCTATTTTGGCTTCTGAGAGAGACTTTTTGATTTTGAAATCCCGACATATCATCAATCAGTAGACAACAACTGGGCCCACAAATCCGATGTCAACACAGCATTGCTCAAAGCTGTTGTGATATTCTCATAACTTTTTTTTTTTCCATAAGACTTAGCACCTGAGCGAATTTCTTTTTCTGTCGTGAGAATGAAGAAAGGTATGGGAAGGGGGTTGGGAAAAACATCTCCCTTTCGCTCCCTGAGAGCCTAACAGGGTCCCCGTGCCGCTCTCGCTCTCTCGGGTTGACGGCGTGTGATGAAATCCAGATGCTGCTGGAGCGAGCACCGGGACAGCAAGACCAAAAGCGAGGAGGGAGAAGAGATGAGCTTCTGATGGATTGAGGTCAGAATGGAGTTTGGAGTCACGTTTCCTGACCTCGCCTCCCTCTTCCTCTTTGACTCGTCTTCATCTGCTGTGTCAGGCTGTTAGCGTTTTGTGTGGTGGATTCGGGTGGCCAGTTATACAGTTTCTGCAAAACTCACGCATGACAAAATGTAACCCTGTTTTGTCATGGCTTAAAATTGACCCATTGTTTGAAAAAAAAAAAAAATGAAGCACAATTTTTATTTTCTTCATTTTTTACATTTAATTTTATTTCTTGCATTTTGCACACACTCATACATGCTGTATTAATCCCGCTGTTGTGTTATAGATCAAATAGACCTGTTTTAATCTCGGACAAAAAAACTGTAAAATGTTTTAGGATAATAAATGTCATGTGTAAAATGTCTTTTTTTTAAAATATAATTTAAAAATAGAATGGTGTTAAACTTGTTCTTCTGGCCTACTACTTGTTATTTTTTTTTTCAATGTACTTTGTATACGTTTGTTAGTTTGGTGTATTTACCGTGGTGTCATGTCACAAGTCAAATTGAATTAAAAGTAAAAGAATCAACCACAAAATTGTTGCAGAATTTTGTTCTTTTCATTTAATTTTTTTTAAAGAGCAACCACTCATACAGTATATTGCATAACTCCTGCGTTATATTACGGATTGAACTGACTATTTGTAATGTCTTTTTTGATTGTTTTTTTTTTTTAATAATTATCAAAATATTTGCTTTTTCCCCTGATGCATGCAGGACCATGTGGACCGCGCACAGCGTGGACTTCCTACTTCTTCTCTGCTTCCTGCTCAGCCTGGCCTACTCGCTCAACCCGAGGGACCCCAATGTGTGCAGCCTGTGGGAGAGGTGAGGCCCGCTTGGCTCAAACAAACCAATATACCATTGCTGCTACTGCTGCTGCCATGACTCGAACGCATACTTTCTCATCCGGCATGTGACATGATGGAGAGGACATAGGAGCAAGGAGCAGCACTTAGAATGTTATATAACTTTCTCTGGCTTTTTAGCTCCTTGTTTGGTGAATTCCAAGCCAAGAAATCAAGAGACGTTACAGTGAAGCGACGCAAAGGTTATTGCGGGAGATATGTTGTGATATATAGAGAGACAATATAAAAGGAGCAATTTAGGGAAGACAAGGCAGCTTTATTTATGTATCGCATTTCATACACAAGATTAATTCATTATGCTTCACATCTTAAGAGTACAACAATTAAAAAGTACTGTACTTACAAACAAAAGAAAGACATTTCAAAATCAACAGCGTGCTTGTTTGCTCCAAGCCAAGCACTATATTATCTGTAAAATAATGCTATGCTAGCTAACTGAAACGCGAACATGAGGCCTAGTTACTAATCATGGCTCTGGATGAAGCTATAAATTTGCCCACATAGTTATTTAAATCAGTCTAAAAAAAATAACAGGCACACTTTTTGTCTATTTCCACCTAAGCAAAGTACTTATATTCAAAAATATGTTCATGATGTTTTTAGCTCAAAATACTAACGTTATGCTAATATTATGCTCCTAACATGAGGCCACTTTCTTTTTTGTGCCTCTAGCTAAAGCTAATGCGTTCATCCTCATAGTCAGTGTTATCAATCAAAAAGAATCATCAACAGACTGCTTGTCCGTTCCAAGTTAACCAGTGTACTTCTGCAAAATGATGCCATGCCATGAATAACTCAAAATGGTGATTTCATGAGACTTATATGAGACACATCTGTGGCACTAGCTCTCTCTTTTGCTGTCCGATCAGTATGCTGTTAGCTTAGCATCCTGATTTAGGTATTTGGACAAATTTCCAAGTGTCACTTTAAACTCTGAGCTGATTCATTTTGTGTTTGTTGCTTCTGATCAGCTTCACTACCTCCGTCAAGGAGTCCTATTCGCATCCTTACGACCACGTGACTGAGGAGCCTTGCTCGGACCCTCGGAGCAACTACAGATGCCCCCGACACAGGTGACAAAAACACAAATGGCAGTGGACAATGAAATGTTAGAATTGACGTGGTCAATGTAGGTCAGCACTTCCGATCGTGTTCAGGTCAGCAGGGAAGGACTCGCTGACATCAATGAGACACTGATCCCGATCTGTTGTTGTTCTTCTTCATTCAGAATCACCTACAAGACAGCCTACAGGCAGGCCGTCAAGACAGACTACCGCAAACGCTACCAGTGCTGCCCGGGCTACTATGAGAGCCGCGACAAATGCGTTCGTAAGTGAAAATACATTTTTGCCATTACGTGGCATTAGAATGGATTACAGTCGTCCCTTGTCATATTGTAGCTCACTTTTCATGGTCTCATTACAGCGCAGGTTTTTTAAATCATACATACCTAATTTTTATCGTGCAGGTTTGTTATTAAACCATTTTGCAATGATCATTTTCCCACACAGATTGTTACTACAGATTCAGGTAGCAATAAGTATGAGGATGCCCAAAGTTTAGGAGCTTTTTCACTGTGAAAAAAAAAAAAAGAAGAAGACAACAATGTACAATGTGTCTACTGCAAAGCCGAACTGCCTTGCACAACTGCACGGCTGTGGTAAAGTAAACATCATGCACTTTCAAATGCTTAATTGGACTAAGAGTAACAAAATAAACATATGCAAGCTGCAAGTGACCCTCAGAGGCACTCCAAAATGCAGAGTGGCTAACAGTTAGCAATTTTGCAGCCAAGTGCTTATCCTGAGCTAATTCTACACCACGGTGTCAAAGCCATGGCCCGAGGGCCAGATCTGGCACACCACATCATTTTATGTGGCCTGCAAAAGCAAATCAAGCATGTCAAATTCCCTCCTGTTTGCTGAAGTCTGAACCAAAATTTTAAATTGTGTAATGTAATCCATAATAACAATGTTTGAACAAGCCATTATTCTTGACTTCTGATTTCAAAACTAGTTATCCATCAATTTGTTGTTCACCATATATGTAATATGTGGAGATGGTTAAACATTTATAAGGTTTCACAAAATTCACAACAGCCCCCCAAGGAAAACCGTAACCGCGACAAAAATGATTTTGACACCCCTGCTCTACACTGTCATTTGTTGACTTGCATGTCTTTCAACAGGCCTGGTCCTGCCTTTTAAAGATACACGCATTCAAAGTCACAGGTACTACAGTTTAGCCTTAGCGTGTCATGGTGGCGACCCCAATAATAATACCGGCTGAGTTCTGTGAGGCTAAAACAGATGAAAAGTATAATATAATTCTTGGACTATTTTGACAAATGTTATTTCTTATTCTATTAAGGTATATGGCAACGGTTTCAAATTGGGAAGGAAACTGGGCAATATGTATCCTTTAAATGAATACCCCTTCTTTTTTTATATGGGATCGACAATTTTCAGTGTCAACTATCGCCAGTCTAAATAGTGGTAGACAAAACTGTTATTGGAGAATTTAAAGGTGATTTTCTTTTTTTTTTTTTTTTAAAGAAAATCTTCCTGACACATGAATCTCAGTTTGCTTTTCTTCCGCCCCATCGACATAAAGCACTTTCTCCAAAATTGAGGGTTTGGGTTCCATGTGGCTGTTTGTACTGGCTGCAGCCGTGTCGCGAAAAGCCCCAATACCGTGAAGGAAATTTCGCTTCGCATTTCAGTTGACTTGAAGGATTTCTCCAGATTTTCCACCCTCTGACCTCAATCAAGCAACGTGATGTGAAAATAAATCAGAAAAAACCTTTATCCACACCAAAATGTAATTCCAGCTTCCTTAGTCCATGCATCCTTTTAATACTTTTGGTGTAATCGTGCTCGTGCGCAAACAAAAAAAGTGCCTCCTTGGTAGATGCTAATAACTGATTGAAATCTATTTTCCAAGAACTCTCAAGTTAATAGATTGTTATCTGTCTCTGTATTAAACATTGTGAGCCGAATTACATAATTCATTTTTATACTATCAATCAAAAATACTGATGTGCTTACAAAAGTGCTTTTTTTTTTGTGTGTGTGTGTTTTTTTCTTCATGATGTCATTGTAGAGTAGAAAGTCATCCAGTTCAGGGTAATACGCAAAGGTTGAATTGAGGCAACTTGACTCTTCTTGACTGTTGAATGTGTTGTTGTTTTTTCTTGTTTCACAAAAAATGTTAAAAAAAAAATTACCTGGCTAATTTTGCTTTTAGATCAATGACATTTTCTTTAGAAAATAGAACAGGAGTGCTTCTACTTACTTAAGTATGATAATATTATTTTTACATAAATTACAATTATATGATTTAATTAAATTTTGTTTCCAATAAAATTTGTATCTGTACTCCGATATAACCAAATGGGCTGCTGCAACTGGTTCACATCTTTTACAACTACGATGAAAACTACTCCAACAAAATTATTTTATTTTTGCAAATTTTCTGCACATTACTAGCAAAGATAAAAAATATCCAATTTAAATAATAATAATAATCATAATAATAACAGTACAGACAAAATAAGTGAGTCAGTGCAAAAGTACAAAGGATATTTTCCATTTCTTTTTGTGCGTTTCTATTGGTCGCTCTGGGTGTGATTATAGCACACGTTGCCTCCTGCTGCCTCCTGCGGTGACTTCTATAAATAAAGTGCAACACACAATCAAACATTGACAAAGAAAATAGTACCTTCAGTCACCGGAACCCTCTCATACAACGTGTCACATAAGTGAGGCTTGTATAATTGAAACATCTCTGGTCATGACATCTAAACGCCCTTTCTTTCTCAACAAGGGCTTTTTTTTTTTTTTTTAACCAGCCAATAAACATATCATTATGCATAACGACATGTTGTGTCCATGTGATGACATGTTGCGATACATTTCCTCCTACGGTGTCATTATTTGCCTCCCTCTGCCTTTCATCTCCGCAGCTCGCTGCACCAAGGAGTGCGTTCATGGCCGCTGCCTGGCTCCGGACCGCTGTCAATGTGAGGGAGGCTGGCGAGGCGACGACTGCTCTAGTGGTACGGAAACTTTAAAAAAAAAAAATCTCTCCCCTTTAATCCCAGCTACTAATGTGACTGACACCATGCGCAAACATTCAACATTAATAAACAGCATAGACACAAGGAACGACATCCCTGCATCAGTCAGAGCGGCTCGGGGCTATTACAAACACTAGGCTTTTCTCCAATGGAAACGGCAAAGCGAACTCATGTATTTCAGCTCAGAAAGAAGCAAATTATATAATCGCTCGAGTCGCCAGGGTGTATGTTATGTGTTATGTTGAAATAGGGGACCCAATAGTGGTCCCTGGTGGACGCCATGATGGAATAGTCTACTTATCACAACCCCTAAGTAATAAATGATATTATTGTTATGTGCTCCTTTGAAATTAAGGAATACGTCAAGTCGTGAAAATGCCACAGGCAATTTCAAAATAAACGCATACGGTTAGTGTTAGTCTGGTTTCTCTCATTCTCAAATAGATCACCCCAAACTTCTGGAGGCCATGTGTTACATTACACAGAATATAATAATTGCTGTATGTCAATACAGTTCAAATTAGAGTGGAACAACTTGAATAATAATTGAATTGCTCTTTGTTGTCCCCCATTCTTACAAAGTACACTAGGCTGTAAAATGTAGTTTGTTGTTTATCTGGTGGGTTTTTTTTCCCCCAAAGCGAATAATGGATAATATAAACAGTACCAGTGGCACGGTTGCCGACTGGTTAGCAAAATAGCCTCATAGTTGAGATACAAATGTCTATGTGGATTCTGGGATTGCGATGTGCAGTGCACACGTTCTCCCTGTGCTTGTGTGGCTTTCCCCCGGGTACCCAGGTTTCCTCGCATTTTCCAAAACATGTATTTGTGAAATGAGGACTCTAATTTGTCTATAGGTGTAAATGTGAGTATGAATGCTCATTCGTCTAGGTTTACTTATATGTGCCCTGCCATTGGCTGGCGTCCAGTCTAGGGTGTACCATGCCTTTCACCTGAAGTCAACTTGGCTAGGCTTCAGCATAAGCTCGGCGCTAATGAGGATAAGTGGATTGCAAAATGGATGATTAAACAGGACCAAAGCAATATTACAGTGAACCTCCACATATTCGTGTACAAATCATCTTGGAAATACCAAAGTGATGGCCATTATCCCAATGTCAGGGGGTATAGTCGTCATCCCTGTGGGATGCCGTGCAAAAAGTCTTGATGTTAATTGTGATTTTAAGCAGTGTGACGCTATTGCACTCCTGCTATAGTAACATTCAAAAACAAGTATCAAAAGTGCTTCTCTATTTTTTTTTTTTTTGTACGCTCTCATGCATGAATGAGATGGACACATTTTTTGTTCACCAAAACACAACAGAGTTGTTTTCCTTTAATCAAGAGTGAAAGCAGAACTTCATATCATTGGCCTGCGTGGCTATTTTCCACAGCCTGCCTGAGTTGGGTCAAAAGTACGCCGCTTTATTATTGTTTTTCTCTGTGCAGCAGAAGAGGGAATTAGCTTTAACGGGTAGCAGTTGCTGTCTTGACGGTGAGGAAACGGAAAAAATGAGCCCACACTTTCTCATTTTCACAGTTTTCTCCATCTCGCCTTTTGCTCCCTCTGTACCCTTCCCCCTTTATTTTTTAAACCTCTTTTTCTTGTTTTTTTTTTTTTTTTTTAACCTTGTTGTTTGCCCTTAATTTTCTGTTTTGGAGAACACTCCACGTGTGGAGTTATCTTAGTCTGTGAAATTGGAGGAGAGGACTTTTTGAGGTTTGCGAATAACCTAAATAGCATGAAGAGCGATGGAAAATGATGGGGGATGGTGCTGCAAAACAATCGTATTGGACCATATGGGCGATCCTGCTTCATGCATGAAATGATATGATTTAATGTTAAAAAGCGTTCCAATGCACATTCTCACACACACACAAGCAGCAATTAAAATCTCATTTGAAATGACTGAAAGATTAGCGTAGCGCAGCAGCTGGTTTTGAAGCAGTTTCCAAAATGCGCTCCTGTGGTTTTGAATGTTTGAGCTAGAGAGATATTACAGGAAAATGTGTATCAGTGTAGCAACGTCGTTCGAAAAATGATGAATCGTTATGTGAAAGATTAATACTGGGATTTTTTTTCCATTTTTGGGTTTAAACATAAATAAAATCCGTCAACCATTTACAGTATTTGACATCGTCAAAACCAGAAAAAAATTACTCATCAGCACAAATGGTTTGCAGATGGTCGGAAGATAGAGAGATAGATAGATTGATAAGGGACGTAAAAAAATAAATAATACAGATCCCTGTGGGACACCCCTGGCAAATACAATGTGCTCTACCATGCACTTTCCTGTGAAACCTCTTCTTATTTTAGACCGGTTTTATGGTGTATATAATTTTGTTATCTTCTCCAATTACTGTGCTGAAGTCCTAGTATAGGTCCTAATACTGATCCCTGTGGGATACCTTTAAAGAATGAATGTTTGAACTCAAATGGTGCAGTAGAACATGTTGACACCGAATTTAAAACGCAGTGGCATATATTCTTTTTCCTCGAAAAAAATATGAATATTTCTGCATATTAACGTTAGTTGAGCAATCATTTTTCCGCATGATTTTATGATACTGCCGCCTCGCGGACACATCGCACACAACAAAAGGAGGCGCAATGAATTAATCATGATCTACAAACTGCTTGATTCTTCACATTACATTTAATTCGGTTATCACTAAATGTTTTTATAAGGTGTCATATAGCATAGATTGTAGAGTACCATTTTTCTTATGGGGTGGGTGGAATAGATTAATGACATTACCATTCATTCCCTGGGGTAAAATGATGAGATATGAGTGTTTCGAGTTACGAGCATGGTCATGGAACAAAGAGAACCCTTTCAGGGACAGCAGTTACTACAGCGGACAGCTTATTACGTTATTGGGTTACAGGGTGCATGAAATGGTTCATATATCTCGAAGTACGACTGTAATTTGTTAGTTTCTTGTCTCTCTGTTGTGCTGCTGCCCTAATAAAGTTCCTTATAATGATTCCTGTGGGATGCCTTTTGAGAAAGCAATTAATGTTACCGTCTGCTCCGCTATTTTTAGTTGTTGTTATCTTCTTTTGATGATTTTTAACGGCCTTATGGAGGTGGCATTTAATTTTACTGAAGTACTTAAGTAAGTTCGGGATAGTCACTTTCACTAGTACCGCCTCTACTATTTCTTTATTTATTTATTTTCCACTGAGTCACATCGGTAAATCTGCATGAGAAGGTCTGCGTAAACACAATGGTCGACACCAGCTGAATTTCTCATTACTCAACATGACAGAGCTGAGCCAAGTCCCCCCTGCCCCCCGACCTCCCCTCTTCTGCCGATCCGTTTAGACGAGAAGAAGCAATAACGTTGGCCGCATAAACACTGGCAGCGCAGCTCAGTCCGAGCCAAATTTGGATCGAGTAGAACCTATTTTGGGAACCGTAGCTCTATAACAACAACGAAAAAAAAAATGCAAAAAGTGACTCAAGCCTCGATTCAGATTACCGAGTGATTTAAAAATAACACCCACAGAGGTCAACAAGAAATCATTGGCACCATTTTTCATGTGACAGACGCACCATCCATCAGTGACATCATCGTACGGACAGAATGCTCTCGGTAACTCAAACCCTGTGTGAATGTCCAACGCTGGATAAAGCCGAGTCCAGCTTTTGTGAGCTCCATGCAAATCTCCCTGATAATTCGAATCTCCAGGGTGGTAAAATGACACCCTAGATGTTGGATGACAGCGGTGGGGAGCTGGGGGAAGGGGTGCAAAACCACAATTGGTGCTCGCTAGAGTGTTCTGTTTTTCATTTAATTGTGGTTAAACACACTCGATGAAATCATCAAGCGTTACCGCGTCGCACTAAAGAGACGCCTTTCCCATAAGTGATGCTAAAGGCTCTAGAACAGGAAGGTTACTGTTATGAATGGTCAGAAAATGGACCAGAGTGGAGGGAGGCTTTCAAAACTAACTTTTCCCTCCCCCCGCCGCTCCCCTCATACCTTCGGTGACGTGCCGCAAATGTCTAACGTTTGATTTTAATTGGACAAATTTTACAGGAAAATGTGGGAAAAGGCTAAAATGTTCCCACCAACTTGTGAGCATACAATACTTCAGCATGTCTTGGCAAAATGAAGAATTCCTACGTAGGGACTCTCAAAGTGTTCTCGTTCAAATTCTGATGGATGAGATGTTAAAAAAAGGCAGAGGGCCCAGCTGTAATCCTTGTGGGCCACCTTAAGCATGTGAATTTGACGAGTCTCAAGATGGATCTCTCGTTAGTTTAAATCCAAACAAGTCAATACAATACCCATCTGTATGAAAAGTCATGGGTTCCACTGACAATTGTTGTTTATGATAACCTCCATCTTATACAATAGAAATCAACTATACCACTAGAATGAATCCATTGTGAAAAATGTCAACAATGCGAGCACAATGTAAATACAAGTCATACAATCACTGTAATGCGATCGTTCCTTGGCAATGGAATGATGAAAACCTCCACCGTGACGCATTAGAAATCAAACAAACAACTCCAAATAATTTCCCCGTGTCCTTCTCCCCCCCAGCCTGTGAGGACAAGCGCTGGGGCCCAGGCTGCGGCCAGCAGTGCAAGTGCGAGAATGGCGCACCATGTGACCCGGTCAAGGGGACGTGTCAGTGCCCGCCGGGTTTCATTGGACGCCACTGCGAGGAGGCGTGTCCTGCTGGAACTTTTGGGAAGGGCTGCCTGGAGAAGTGCAAATGCGGGGACGGAGGATCCTGCCATAAAGCCAGCGGAGAGTGCACGTGTCGGGATGGCTTCACCGGCACCTTGTAAGTTTTTCAGGGCACAGATTCATGACTGTGAGAGATCATCACCTGTGCTGTAGGAAATTATTCAGTTTCATATTTTTTTCTTTTCATTTAATTTCCATGATAGTTAGGGCGGCGCGGTCGTCGAGTGGTTCGCGCGTCGACCACACAGTGCAGAGGTACTGGGTTAGAGTCCAGCTCCGGCCTTCCTGTGTGGAGTTTGCATGTTCTCCCCATTCCTGCGTGGGTTTTCTGCGGGTACTCCAGTTTCCTCCCACATTCCAAAAACATGCATGGCAGGCCGTCCTCGGGCAGTATGCGGGGGACACCTTGAACCGGTTGCCAGCCAATCGCAGGGCACACAGAGACGAACAACCATCCGGGCTCACACCCACACCTAGGGACAATTTAGAGTATTCAATCAGCCTGCCATGCATGTTTTTGGAATGTGGGAGGAAACCGGAGTACCCGGAGAAAACCCACACAGGCTCGGGGAGAACATACAAACTCCACACAGGGAGGCTGGAGCTGGAATTGAACCCGGTACCTCTGCACTGTGAGGTTGATGCACTAACCACTGGATCACCGGGCCGCCTGATATCATAGTTTGTGGTATATTTATAATCGAAACTATGAATATAGGCATTTCTAAACATTTCGGGGCAGGTGTCAATTACTCACAGTTTTATGCTCATTGGCTCTGAGACGTGAGACAATCTGATTATAAAAACTGCATGTGCCTTGGCTCAGTAAAGGTTAGGAATCGGGTACCACTGCACAATGGAAATGAGAGCTGATAGATGTCGGATTGCATTTTTAGCTGTGAAAGGCCATGCTCCAGGAAGTGTCCAGCGCGGTGTCCCTGTCAAAATGGCGGCATCTGTCGGGGCAAAGGGATCTGTGCCTGCCCTCCAGGGTGGACGGTATGTCAAAAGTCGTATTCTGTAAATCTATACTATACAAAAATATAAATGCAACACTTTTGGTTGGGGCTCACAAGTCTTATTTCTCTCAAATATTGTTCACAAATCTGTCAGACCCAACTTCAGTGAGCACCTTTCCGAGATAATTCAATCCTCACAAGTCTGCCTTTGACTGCCCACAATAAAAGGCTACCAGAAAGTGGGAGAAAAAAAAGCAAAAGTGTTGGCTCTATGTTTTTGTTCAGTCTACTTCTACATCGCATCATGTTCAACTCACCTTGTATTGTAAACGGCTGCTGCCTTCCAGGGTTCTGTCTGCACGGAGCGCTGCCCCGAGGGACGATATGGACCCAACTGTGCAGAGGAGTGCATTTGCCATAACCACGGCAAATGTGACCCTGAGACAGGACAGTGCAAGTGTGCCAAAGGGTTCACTGGGAACAGGTGTGTACTTGTCAAGGTCACTGATGAAGTTAAAGTGCTGGTGATGTGCGCTAACCAATCACAAAGCAGTCCAGAGATGAAGCATGTGTGTTTGTGATGCTTTTACATGGCAATGAGGTCACTTGTTACTAGGCAGAATTTGTGAGGTTCAATAAGATTAAAAAAATAAATAATAATCTGGGCATATGCTGTTTCCTTGGCAACTTGGAGGCATCCAGAAATACATTTTGTGTATGTACGTGTGTGTTTCTAATGTCACGTTTGGCTTGCTTAGGTGCAACGAGGAGTGCGCAGTGGGATCTTACGGTCAGGACTGCGAAGGCGCGTGCGACTGCGCAAATGGCGCTCGCTGCTACAACATCGACGGCGGCTGCCTGTGCGAACCGGGCTTCAGCGGGCCCAACTGCAAAGACAGGATGTGCCCGCACGGGAAATACGGCATGCACTGCGAGCGCACGTGTCTGTGCCAGGACAAACACACGCTCAGGTGAACATGTAGATAAAGTTGAGTTGCCTTGGGTGTGCACTTGACAAACTTCATATGCTATCCAATTCTGATAAAACTGCTTCTACATTCCCGCCCATCCTCATCTCAGTCTAGTCCACTCCACTGTTTGTGAGATTGCAGGCAAATAGTGCCCCCTGGCGACCACAAAAACAGATCTTGGTCAACTCATCATATGACTGGCATATAGTGATGTATAAACGTGCTATTCATGTTTAATATTCTTATTTATGATTTTAAAGCATGTGTTGGTGACAACATTGTTAATGTGTGTGTAGGACGACTTGAATGTGTAGTCATGTCCATATCTACACTTTTTACCCCTGTTTAAAATTGATACAACATTTTAAGTCAAGTGTAATTAATTTCAGTTCAATATATATATTTTTTTTAAGTACAGAATACACAAAACGTTTGTTTTTACCTAGGAAAAAAATATATACAGTAAACAAAAATAAAAGCTTTTATTTACATCTGGAGAAAAAAATTTCTAATCCAGAAATCAAAAATGTATTCTAATATACATTTAAAAAAATCGGTGCATTAAAATTTGAACATTTTGGTTTTAAATGAAATAAAGTGGGGTTAAATTAAATTAAGTTACCGGTAAATAAAATTCTAATGAAATAAACCGCATTTATATTAAATGACTGCATTTTTTAAATCCCGAAAACAAAACAAAAAAATATTTGTTATTTGTCATCCTGGTAATGATATAAAATAATAGTAGATCATAAAAAATTTACATTTAGTTTTTTAATGCAAAAAGAACAACAAAAAAAATATATCTTTTCAATGCTATCCAATAAACTAAAACAGAGCTTTATTAAATCCAGCATACAACTACGGTAAGTAATTTTTTGGAACCTCAAAAACTAAATATAAAAATCTTTACTTTTTTAAAAAATGCAGAATACAATTGCTCTCTCGTCAGATTTTTTTTAATTGATGACTGTTACAAAAAAATATTTTATTTCTTAGTTAAGTGAAATGAGTGTGATATGGAACCTGACTGACTCTTCCCTTCAGCTGCCACCCAATGAAAGGCGAGTGCACGTGCCAGGCGGGCTGGGCGGGGCTACACTGCAACGAAACCTGTGCCCACGGTTTCTACGGCGACGGCTGCCTGGAGCCCTGCTTGTGCGTCAACGGTGGCGTGTGCCACGGCGCCACCGGACTTTGTCAGTGCACACCCGGATACACGGTCAGCAACCTGCCGTCGTCAGCTCACAACCACATTCGTGTGGTGTGGGATGTGATCCAAGTGCCCTAAATATTAGTTGGGTCCGATCAAAACTTTAACTCTTTGCTCTTTGTTAATCCATCTCATGCCAATGATGCATTGTAACAAGACCAACAATGAAAGTGAGTTGGGGTGGGGCCGGTGTACGGAGGTAAAGGATTGCAAACGTGTATCAACTTCCGTGACACAAAGTGAAATTGACATCTGTATCCTTTTTTTGGGACAATTTGTCTGGTCACGTGCCCTGCGATTTTCCTCACGAACAAAATGTGCTTTGGCTCAATAAAGGTTGGGAATCCGTGCTCTAGTTCATACTGATTGTGATCCGCCCCGCCCACAGGGAGTTCACTGCGAGAGTCCATGCAAAAGCGGTACCTACGGCAAAAACTGTTCCCTGGAATGTTCTTGCAAGAACTTTGTGGACTGCTCACCCATCGACGGAGCCTGTTTCTGCAAAGAAGGTAAAGCTTTTCCCCACACATGCAGCGATGAATCATTAAACTTGCCACCATCACTCTCATTTATTTTTTTTAATGTCTTCAGGCTGGCGAGGGCCCGACTGCTCGCTTCCTTGCTCGGAGGGAACCTGGGGCCGCGGATGCAACGGTACCTGTCAGTGCGCCAACGGGGCTAAATGTAACACCGCGGACGGATCCTGCACTTGTACCGCCGGCTGGCAGGGGGCGCACTGTGACCAGTCGTGCCCGGTGAGCTTTCTGCACTTTTAGTCTATCAAACTAAAAGCAAGATCGACAACAATTTTTCTGCATTAGAGGGTGCAGCGCCCCACCAGTTTGGCATTTTAATTGTTATCCACAATGTTTAATCCATGACACACTGTTTTTGTCCTAAAGAGAATGACAAAAAAGAACCTTTTGCCCCCAAATCCAGGAAAAAAACAAGATCATTTTGAACCCATAACGCGTTTTCTTTCATTATTTTTATCAAGATAACACAAGGCAATATCTAGAAAACAAGAAAATGTATCCAGAAAACAACAACAGCGATGTCATTTTTTTAATGAAGAAAACACCAACAACAAAAAAGTGTTTTAAAAATAAAATGAAAAAAGATTCTTAAAAAAACAAAAAGTGCCAGTGGTACGGTTATTATTTTCATCCCAATATGTATTTGAAAGGTATTACAATCTATCTGTTGAACTTTTGTTTAGGTTTTTTATAGTTTTGCAAGCCAGTTTTGAACCTGACTAATGCTACGATCAATGAACTCTGCCTAGCAACAAGTGACCGTGTAGACAAGACATCCGTCATGGCCAATTACCTGGTCTCCGTTGATGTACATTGTTGCCTCCACTCTAGAAAGTGTTACTAGTAATTTCCATGGAAGCCTTTAGCCTTGCCGTTGCCATGGCGACAGCCCTTCCGCAATTGTAACATTTTGCCCGGCATTGGTCCAGTTGAGAGCCTGGAGTGACTCTCCTCACTGGCTTTGGTTCCTACTCGCAGATGGGCTCGTTCGGGCCGGGCTGCCTGAAGAGATGCGACTGCGTCCATGCTGACGGTTGCCAGGCAACCACAGGGGACTGCCTTTGTCTCCCTGGCTGGTGGGGTGAGTGTCCATTTTTTCAAACAATACAATACAATAAAAGGCAGATTTATAAGGTAATAATGCTCACTTTGGAGCGGTATTAATAGACGAATATGTATAATATTTTGGTTATAGTTAAATTGGAGCGAATCAATCAATTAATGAGAATAAATTTCAGCCACCTTGTCTCGCACAGGCCCACACTGCAGTGAGCCGTGCGCCGAGGGCCTGTGGGGGCGCCATTGCAACCAGACCTGCTTCAAGCACTGCCCCAACAGCGACACGTGCTTGCGGGAAACTGGGGCGTGCGTATGCCGCCCGGGCTTCAGGGGGGTCACCTGTCAGAACAGTGAGTGTCGCCGAGTGACGCTCGATCACGACGCCAGTCCATGCCTGACGTGTCTCCGCCTCCCCAGAATGCAGATCGGGTATGTACGGAGACCAATGCAGCCAGTCCTGCCCATCCTGCGGCCAGTCGTATCGCTGCCACCATGTGACTGGGGAATGCGACTGCCTTCCGGGGTACACCGGGGATGAATGCCATCAGGGTGGGTCCAATCAAAGACAAAAAATAAATTGACCATTAGGACATGTTCAACCAAGTTGTGTCCTTGTATTAGCATCATGAGTGTTTTCAAACTTGTAATCAGTCAGTCAGTCCGCCCATTTAAAGGGTGACAAGTGTGCTGCTTCGTGATGTGGTGTGTACCACACTAAACATGGACCAGAGGAAGTGAAAGAAAGTTGTCTCAAGAGATTAGAAAGAAACTGATAGACAAGCATGTAAAAAGCACATGTTATAATACCATCTTCAAGCAGCTTGATGTTCCTGTGACTACAATTAGACATATTTAGAAATGTAAGAACCACAAGACAGGACCCAACCTCCCTGGACTTGGTCGCAGAAGTAAAACAGGTGACAAATTGAAACGGAAAATACAAAAGGTAACAAAAGAGCCTGGAACAACCTCCAAAGAAATTAAAGGCGAACTCCAAGGCCAAGGACATCAATGTCAGATCACACCATCTGTTGCCATTTCGCGCCGAAGTGGACTTCATGGGAGGCAACAAAGGAGAACAGCACTGTTGAAAATAAATGGTGAAAAAAATTAAACCACAGAGTTGGGCCGATTTCCAATGGACGGACAAGACAAAATTGGAACTTTTTACCAAGGCCCCTCAGCTTGATGTTGACAGATGCATATCAAGAAAAGAACACTGTCCCGACTGTGAAACATGGGGGAAGGCTCTGTTATGTTCTGGGGCTGCTTTGCTACATCTGGTATGGGGCACAATTAAATCCCAAAACGGTCTCTCGAGAGAAATGTGCTGCCCGGTGTCAAAAACTTTGGTCTCCGGTCGTGGGTCTTACAACAGGATAGCGACCCAAAACACCCAACTAAAAACACCCATGAATGGCTACGACCTGTTTTAATGTGTGTGATGTTTCACATGGTTTGTTCTGTGCGTTTGCTGCAGTGTGTCCGTCCGGCTACTACGGCAAGGCTTGTTCCGAAGTGTGCATCAGCTGCGCCAACAACGCTACGTGCAACCACCGCGACGGCCAATGCCAGTGTCTTCCCGGCTGGACCGCCACAGACTGCTCCATACGTCAGCACCAATTTATCATATTCATATTGATCATGAGCTGAATTTCTTTCGTAGATATTTTAAAACATATTTTTGGTCTCCAGCATGCAGTGCAGGACGTTTTGGCTCCTTTTGCTCCCAAACTTGCTCCTGTCCCGCCAATGTCTTGTGCGACCGGGTCACGGGAGAATGCGTGTGTGACAACGTTGACTGTCAACAAGGTACGCACACGCACGCACAGTACCAGCAAGCTTTGGAGATTCCCTCCGCTAGAATAATTCTGACTTGATCCCATAATTTGTTTTCAGAGACATCGGAGCCCGGCAGCGTGATGGTCCCACTGCCCCCGGGCGAGAAGGAGTCGTGGGCGGCCATCAGCGGCGTAGTGGCGCTTGTCATCTTGGTGGTGGTGCTGCTGGTTCTACTGCTGCTCTACCGACGCCAGCAGAGGCTCAAGCACAACAACACGCCCGCCGTGTCCTTTTCCGTCAGCCGCACCGTCAACTCCGAGTACGCCGTACCAGGTAGGCAACGGCCCGGGCGCCGCGTGGGCTCGTAGCCGCAAGTGAAACTTTCGGAATACTTTTTGCATTTCAACATTGAAAAGTTGATTTAAAAAATTAATTTAAAAACATTTTTTAAAAAAAATCACACTGATATTTTAAAAAGTTTATCTTAAAAACAAAACATATTTTAATCTGATAATTTTAATAAGTATATCAAGAATACAATAAATGTTAATAAATATTTTTTAAAACTTATTTATGGGTATCCAGTTATAAAGAAAACTGAAACTCTGGGGCTATGGCAGGTTTTTTTTTTTTTTAAACAATTTTTGTAGCAAAATTTTCAACAGAATTGAGGTCATATTTATGTTCTTATCCAGAAATCAGCAAAGATTTTTTTAGGTGTTATTTTGAAAACACACAAAAAAAATAAATTCTCAAATCCATAAATTGGTTCACAGTTTTTTCAATTTTTTATTTTGAAAACAAGAAATAAAATTAATTCTTAGAGAGCTAAGTTATATGTAAATGGCAGGACCTGATTGATGAATGTGTGTGTGTGTGTGTGTGTAGATGTGGCTCCCAACTACCAGCACTACTACTCCAACCCCAGCTACCACACGCTTCGGGACAACCGTCCACCGCTGCCTCACCTCCCCAATAACCACGACCGCACAATCAAGGTGACCTTCATCCACTCGGCTCCTTCAAGCTCACTCTTTGCCCCCTTTTCTGATGACTTTTTTTTTTCTTCCAGAACACCAACAAGCAATTGTTCTGCAGCATGAAGAACACGGATCGGGAGAGGCGTGGCCTTTTTGGCGTGGAGAGCAACGCAACACTGCCTGCCGACTGGAAACACCACGAAGCTCGCAATAAGGAGCCAGGTCAGACCACACCAGAGTTCAACACACATCTGGGCTAAGAAGGAAGTGCTGGCTAATAAGGGACAATTTTTCAGAATACATCCATCCATTCATTTTCTGATCCGCTGGAACCTATCTCAGCTGTCTTCGGGCAGTAGGCGGGGGACACCCTGAACTGGTTGCCAGCCAATCGCAGGGCACACATAGACAAACAACCATCTGTGCTCACACTCACACCTCGGAACAATTTTTGAGTGTTCCACGAACCTGCCACGCATGTTTTTGGAATGTGGGAGGAAACCGGAGTACCCGGAGAAAAGCCACGCAGGCACGGGGAGAACATGCAAACTCCACACAGGAAGGCCAGAGCCCGAATTAAACACTGCACCTCTGCACTGTGAGGGCGACGCACTTTTCGGAATACATAACTCAGATGGAAAAAAAAAAAAAATCTGTAATAATTGTCTCTTGTTATTACGCCAGATTAAAATATAAATCCAGATGCATGTGGAATTAAAAAAATGCATTAAGTAGAAGTACACTGTTCCCCTGCATATTTGCTCCTCTCTAATTCAGATTTTTTGAGAACCTCTCCTCCAAAATTTAAGAGAAAAAAAAAATCACTTAGACTCCCTTGAGGTATGTTTATCCATTTTAAAATGCGAACCAGCCAGGTTCGACAAAGAAAAGTTTCTAAAGTGGTGAGTAAAAGTCAAAAGCTTTCACACAACTAATAATTCACATCGAGATACCAGAAAAAAAAAAAGGAGTGAGGTACATTTTTAACTTCCCGCCACTGGCTACAACTTGACTTATACTTTACATTTAAAATCAGCCGAACAGAACACATTTGATTTATTGCTGTGGTCTGCTGGATGCGATTCAATCGTCTTGTTATTGTGTTGCCAAGTCTTCTTTTATTGGCTATAAAATAACATTGACAGTATTTCCTCGTAGAAGCGTCAAGAAGACAGAGATGTAAAAACAAATAAAAGCATGTTTTCGATGAATTTTTTTCCATCATAAAATGAATCGTTGGCGTTCACAGGAGCGTTTGGAATCGATCGGAGTTACAGCTACAGCGCCAGCCTCGGAAAATATTTCAACAAAGGTTGGTCAAATGTTCTCCATCCGCTTGAATGCGAGCTGCGGTTTGCATTTAGTGCTCACTTACACTCTCTAGTGGCACCGAGTGGTACTGCAACACTTCAACACCCAAAAAATAAACAAAAAAAAAAAAAACATATTGGTTTTGACGTATTTTCATCCAGAAAATAACAAGGGTGAAAAACTGAGAATAAGCAAAGAATTTATCCAGAAAAAACAAAAAGGGGGTTTAAAATCTAGGAAACAAAACATTTGATAATTTGAAGAAAAACAAGATTTCGTCAAGAAAAAAAAAAACAAAAAGGTTTTTTTTCTCATTGATTTTCACCAGTAAAAAAACTAAATTCTTGATTTGAGTAGAATCCCAAAAATGACGATAACATAAAAAAAAAGTATTTTAAAATAAATAATTCCATTCATAACTTTACAGTAACAATTTTATTTTTTTCAATCCGAAAACAAAGTAGATATTTTTTATAGCCACAACAGCAAATATGAAGTTTTTATTTGGAAAACGATTATTTGTAATTTAAAAAAATAGCCAAAAAGTTGTGATCTCAAATATCCAGAATACAAAATTGTGATATACATGTTTTTTGGGGGGAGGAAACAACATATTTTACATTTTTATACAGAACATAAAATATTTTTCATTACTATTATTCTGTGCAGAACAACACTGATTTGATGACGACAGTAAAATTCAAATAAAAATGTTTTTCTGTGTGTTTGCGATTTAGATGCATGTTTTTGGGTGGAGAATAATGACGATTTTTGATGTTGCAATTTTTGTGATGCAGTACTTGTAGGAAGGTCAGCAAATGTGATCTTAATTGTTCGTTCAGAACTGACAGAGGCCGCAGGCATGGCGAGCAGCAGTTCCCTGAATAGCGAGAACCCTTATGCCACCATCAAAGATCTGCCGGGACCCCCCTTCTGCCCTCCCGAAAGCAGCTACATGGAAATGAAAGCGGCCGTCCCCCGAGAGCGAGCGTACACCCAAAGCGCACCACCGCCGCCCCCGCCCTTCAACGCCGCCTCTCTACGACGACGTGAGCCACACACATGACAAATTATACACTGGATATAAAAAGTCTACACACCCCTTAGGCTGATATGCAGTCAAAAAAAACATGATGGGAACAGGAGCATTCAGTGGTGACACCAAATCTTGAGATTTCTGCTAGAAAGCAAAAACTATCAGGGAAAGCCTACTAGAACATCTGAACTTTATTTCGGGATGATCAGAGGCACTTTAAATGGTGGCAGGTGTGTGCTATCTCCCATTTCTTAATGAATGAGTTCACAATTAAATGTTATCCCACCCACAGAGCGTCAGCATTCTGTGGGCCACGCCCCCCAGGAGGATCCGCTAGGCCACTACGACCTCCCGGTCAACAGCCACATCCCGGGCCACTACGACCTGCCGCCGCTCCGCCGCCCCCCATCGCCCGAGAGAACGCTGCGCTGACCATGACGCCGATGTGAAGGCACGCGAGGGCTCCCGAAACGGCATTTAAGACGCCGTAGGCCCCCAAGAGGGAGGACGCTGGAATTTCACCACTGGTGGGAAGATCCCACTTCAGGTGGTATGCGCCCAAGTGGAGGAACTTGAGGGGGGTGGGGGTGGGGGTGGGCAGGACTTCAGGATGGTTTGAAGACTCTTCAGTGAACTAACTTTCACATTTTTTTTTTTTTTTACAACCTCAGCTGGTTTCAAGAGTTATTCGCAATGTTATGATGCACTTTAGCACACACCCAAAAAAAAAAAAAGTTTGAATTTGCTCACTTTTTAAACACGGTTGTTTTTCTACAAAGTGTATGTCAATAAAACACAAAAATAATTATGCAAGGGAAAACAATTACATGATTGAGTCTTTTTGAGACGATGGTGTAATATTGAGGGAATAAAAATACCAATATTTTTCAGAAGGTTTTTGACAATCAAGTCCGAATAATACAAGAAAAAAAAAGTAACATTTATAATAGGGGAAAAAAACAATGTTTGAACACGAGCTTTTTTCTTCTTTTACACAAGTGCTTGTTTTTCCCCCCAAAAAAGTACTGTATATATTCTGTATGTATTGTGGATTTCCTCATAAACTGGCCAGTTGCTGATTTTTTTTTTGTTACTCTGCTGAGAGCACTTTTTGTCAGCTTTACAGATGTCATCTGTTTGGCAGCACTTTGTTGCCGTAGTAACTTTTTTTCTTTCCCCTCTTCGCCTTTTTTTTTTTTTTTTTTTTTAATCATGTCTCATTAAAGTCCAACACACGTCAACTTTAGAGATGCCACTATACCCTGTAGGACACTGTTCGGTGTTTCTTTTTTCTTCTTTTTGTATGTGGTCATGTATTTCAGGATGTAATCATTTGTTTTTGTTGTGTATATTTGTAAATAAAAAAAGCCATCATAGGTGTAATCTTGTCTTGTAACAATAAAACTTGTTTTATGACAAAATGTCATTTTTCCACATTTTATGACAAGGTAATAAACGAGAAAAAAAACATTTTTTCTAAATATATTTCTCGTGCAATTTTATGAAAATTTAATTACCCCCCAAAAATAAAAGTACAATTAAAAATATATTTTTTTCAATTAGTAAAGTCATATGAGAAAAAAGTTACAATAGATGCAAACATTTCAAGAGAATAGAGCAATATCACGTGAAGTAAAAGTGATAAGCACGAAAACTGTCACAATTTTGCAACTTTGTCATTTGTAATTGTACAAGAAAAAAGTTTTGGAACTTTGAAATGTTTTATGGCGGTTACAATATATTAAAAAAATGATATGAGACAAAGTCACAAGTTTCACAAGACAAAAGTGGCATAATTTTTTTTATCCAAATTTTAGATTTACATAAATTACAAAGAGACAGTCATATAAAAAATATTTTTTCAGCAAAAAAGGTGATATTTTTAGGCAAGTCAAAATCTTTTTTCCCCACAACACAAAGTGAAAATTCCCAGAAAATGTCAACATTTTAGGAAAAAATTATAAAGTTGCAATTGCACAAAATCCCAACTATGCGATGAAAGTTTTATGACAACAAAAAAACGTGACAGTTTTGGAATCTAAAATAGGGGGGAAATGCAATTAAAAGCTGTAAAATAGATTTTTTTTTTTTTTTTTTAAGTGGGACATTTTTGTCAACGAAGTCCAAGAAAAATATGCTCCGAATTAAGTTAATTAAATGAGATCATTTTAGGCCCACAAAACTTCCATTATGAGCCGGGAAATAAGTTTACGGGACTTTCTTGCTCCTTCCAAGTACGCGTTTTGAGACGTACCCACATTTTTGTTGGATATTTGTAAATTTAAAAAAAAAAAAAAAGTATATAATGTATTCATGAACAATGTTTTCCTTTTACACTTTTATTTGGAAAAGAAGCACAAAAATAATCCAATATTGAAGAATAGGTCTTTGATCAAGACAGACATGATATCTCAAAACGGCAAGCATTTCATTTGGCAGATTTCCAAACATTCAAAACATTTCAATTAACAGCGTTTATGTTACACATCAACTATGTTAATTGCAAATCTTTGAAGAGGACTGGAAGGCACTTTTAAGTAACAAAATATCAAAAAAAGCGACAGGGGAAAAAAAAGCCAAAAAAAAAAAAAAGCCATCAAGTATTTTCCAATAAGCGCTTGGCTATGCTTTCTTTGGCTGACAAGCTGCTCGAATACAGTACAAATGTTCCATCAAGGCAAAAGTTGCAAGAAAAAGTGTTTAAAAAAGCCAGCAAAAAAGCATCAAGGCATGCCAAAAATCAATGATTTCGCAACTGCTGTAAATGCTCACGTGTGGCACCAGACACATACAAAGACACCCAATCCAAAAGTTGCCAATCTTTGGCGTTCTAGCACAACAAAAAAAGAGAGGGAAAAAAAACATCTATTAAAAATTACTTCTGGAAAATTAGGTCAAGCCGGGAAATGGGGGAAATGCAAGTTGTTTGTTTGAGGGGGGGGGGGGGGGAGTCCACATAGAAATGTTTGCCCTGAGATTACAAAACATTTTATCAAGGCACAATTATAATCATGAAATGTTGAAAAGGAAAAAAATGGTTTGTTAATGATTAGCCACAAGCTATGACGTCACAAACGAGCCTCATCGGCTTCACTTGATGTTTCTATGCAAAGGTATGCAGAGTTGACAAAGACCTATTTGGACGTTTACAGAGAACAAGAAAAGTGATTTTTTTTTTTTTTACAAGTACAAATATTGTGACAGAGTTCAAAATATTGTCAATTGCACTATTAGTCAAATAATACCAATAAAAATGCTAAAAAAAAAATGTTTTTTTTCTTGTTTTCCGAAAACATTCAAATATGACTTAAGTATTAGGCTAACAATATTCATCCGTGTGTAGTTCTGGAAAAATTTTTGAAACCCACAAAAAAAAAGTTAAATTAAAAAATGATATTTGACTATATCTCTTTTGGGTATTTTGACAATTTTTCACTTTGTACAAATTAACGCTCTGAATGAGAATTTGGAACTCCAAAGTAATTGTATTTTGCCACCACTTCATTGGAAAGAAAACCAAAAATAAAAAAAAACCAACTCACAGTTTAAATTACATCGGAAAAACTGATGATGTTTTGCATTGGGGTTCACCATCTGTGCGTGTTGACTTTTGACAGCAATAAACGTGACCTCGAGTGGATGCATTTGCCTAAGTGCGAGCGTGCGTGCGTGTATGTGTCTGTTAGCATTAGCACAAGCGTTAGCGCACATGCAATAACATACAGTAAATGGATTATACACAAGCAAGCTCCTGTGGCCTTCAGGCGAGCTTCAAGCAGCAGAGAAGTTTATAGTGGATACATGTAAAAAAAAATAAAAAATTGAAGGTAATGATGGGAAGAAAAAAAAAACATCCCAGAGGTGATGCACATGATTGCGCAACAGGAGACGGGGCCAAGTTTGCTTTTACATGACCGCGCAGTTCTCAGGCTTGACGCGACTCTGGAAGGACAAAGAGCAAGCGACAGCCTTACCACCACAACATTTGGACACAAAAAATGTCTAAGTTGAAAAATATGACCAGATTTGATTAAATTTCCCTTTAAAAAAATTAAAAAAAGAGTTGCAGGTTTTCCTTAGTACAGTACATGTTGGAATATTATGAGGGGAAAAATGTCAACATGTATTGAATGTTTTATAAGCAAACGAAATGTCAAAAAATTCAGAGTAGACAATCGAAAAAGTAATGAGAAAAACTAACAAGTAGAATTTTTTAAACCCCCCCCAAAAAAAGAAAAAAAGCCATCAGATTTTTCAGAAACCAATGTCAAACTATTCACAGGAAAAAAACATTTCAGATACTCAAGGAAAAAAAGACATTTTACATGAATAGTTATTTTCTGACTAGTTCTTTAAAAAATACTTTAATTAAAAAAAAAAAATAAAAAAAAAAGTAAAAACCTAGAAAAAAAGTATGCACTTCCCAGTTAGCTCTGATATAAGTACGTTACCTGTCTGGGCAGGTTGTCGGCCACGAAAAAGGAATGTCCCACGAGGCCTTCGGGCCCTCCGCCGCCGTGGCTGCCGTGGCCACGGTCCGACGTCTGGCCACACGAGTCGCAGATGACCGTGCGACTGCGCAGGTTGTACTCATTCTCACCGCTGGTGCTGTGAGCTCCCTGCGAAGGGGCGGAAGGGCGGGGGTACACCACAGAGCGCTCTTGAGTGCACGTTTACCTTCATTATGATGATGATGAGGAGGAGGAAACGTTACCATGTCATCGTCATCCTCCTGGAAGAGGGTGCGGGTCACTTTCCTGCTGGCCATTTCCTTGTGGAAAAAGACAAAAGTCATCATTGCCTTCATGATGCATTCAACAAGTGACAACAAGCTGATTTTATGTGCAAGTGTGTCCCTTTTTGAGGTTCACCTCTCCAGCAGCACTGATGAGGACGGTTTGCAGGATGTCGCCGGTGCCCCACGAGTCCTGACTCTTCCACACCAGATCCGACGGGGGGGAGTGGCTTCCGCCACCTGACGCCGCCCACACCTTTGGAAAGGTTAAAGGTCAATTATGCTTGCAATTTATTTGCAGGAGACAAGCAAAAAAAAAAAAATGGGAAGAAAGACTTTTTGGGGAAAAAAAACAAACTACAAAAAGTAATAAAAGATAGTTTGTTTGTTTTTTTTTAGCAGAAATAAATGTTCAGCAGTTATTTTTAGAAAAAAAAGATTTTAGAAACAAAAATAGAAGTAGAAATAGTATTTTTTTGTAGAAAGAAAACAACAAAGTAATATTAATCAGAATATGGTGTTTCGACTAGTAGGGCCCATAGAACATGTTCTAAAGAATTTTTTTTTTGTTGGCTTCCCCTTTAAATCAAGAGTTTTTCAGGAGATTAGTCGAGGCTAAAAACTGATTCTCCAACAATTCCAGCATTTTGTTTCTTCTTTTTTTTTTTTTGCCTTACATTGTCTTGTAACTGTCAATAAAGGTGAATTTGGGTGGGAATTTTTTTTGTGTGTATCTTACGGTGACGGTGGCTCCAGCCTTCAGGGTGTACTTGTGGGGGAACTTGTAGATGATGGCCGCGTCTTCGCCCACTTGTCTCTTCAACTGCCAGCCAGCCAGGGATTGGTCCTTGCGGGTAAGAAACATCACACGTGCTTGATAGCAATAACAACAATACTTAAAATAATAATAATAATAATAATAACAATAATAATAATAATAATAATAATTCCTACATTGGCTGCATGTTGACCATTATCAATTAAGAGTGACATGCAAAAATCGGCCCACCAAATCCATCCTCCACAATGAAAAGGCTTTTATGGTTGATCTGGAGTTTTCACCCGATTCTATCCTGAACATTTTTTTGTGAGTGTCGATCCCGAGCGCTCACCTCGTCGCTCTTGTTGCTGAGCCTCACATACTTCCCGTCCTGGTCCACCTCGTCCACAGTGACACGTCCGCTGGCTGCGGCGTGCTGGATGATGCGCGTCTTGGTGACGGTGCCCCCGGCCGCCGCCAAGCTGGATGTGTCGCTGTCGTTGTCATTGAGACGGCGCTTCTTGGCGGCTCCCGAGGACGTGCGGCTGCTGGAGGCGATACCGGGCGTGGCGTGAAGCAGGCGGCTGTGGCTGTGGGACGAGCCCGAGCTACGCGTCACCGTCATTCGGCCGGGCTGAGGGCTGGGCGACAGCTGCAACCTGAGGGGAGAGGCAGAGTCGGGAATGAATCCACTATCACAATAGTTTCGATTTTTTTTTTTGGTTCCATTTTCACATTTTTAAAAATTCTGTTAGTTTTAATTTGTTTTTAGAGCAAGTTTGATAATTTTTTTAAGTCAGTATTTATTTTTCTGAAAATGCTTGGCTTTAGTTTATTAGTTATAGCATTTGTTTTAGTTTTTTTTTTAAACGTAGTATTTGTCAAGTGCGTGATAAAAAAGTCCTTATATTGTGAAATAAAGTAAAAGTAAATTACAATTGTCAAACTGTTTGACCTTCTTCTGTGTGGATGTACAACAACACTGAAATAAATACAATTAAAACGAACCCCGAAAGGTCATTAATAAACGAATCTGTAAATGGAAGACATTTTTGCAATAACTATAATTAGTTTCATCAACATAAGATGTAGTTTCAGTTCGCTTTTGTTTCTTTTGAAAGTATTTTCAATTTGTATTTTAGTTCATTTACAAAAATGTTTTCAATTTTAGGTTGAGTTATTTCACTAACTATAACAACATTGACTCACACTCAGCAATTCCAACCGTCAGCGTGTCCCTCACCTCTCCTCCTCGCCTTCCAACAGCTTCCTGTAGGCGTTGATCTCCATGTCCAGAGTGAGTTTGATGTCAAGGAGCTCCTGGTACTCGTCCAGCTGTTGCTGCAGGCGCGCTTGCATTTTGGCCATTTCGCGATCCTTGTCCTCCATCCTGCGCCGCATCAGGTCGCGCTCCCGGCTCAGCGTGTCCTCCAGCTCGCGCACCTTCGCTTCACTCAGGGACAACTTTGCAGGGAGAGAGAAGGTTCCGGTTAAAATTGATATACAGTGGAGCCTTAAAATAAACGTGACCTGACCTAAGGATTGGTGATGTTTTAAAGAATAACTGTCAAGACAGAGGCACAGTAATTGAACTGTACTACACTTTTGGTTGCAGATGTGCATTTGCCTGTGCAGATTATCTCGTCACCATACAGTATTTCTACTAAGCAAGTTGGCAATTTTCGTTACTAATTTCCAAGAGTTGTGAGTGTGTGAGTGTGTTTGTGTGTGTGCCCACCTGTTTCTGCAGCTGACTGAGCTGAGCCGACATGCCCTCCACTCGAATGCGTGTCTGCTGTAGCTCTTCATGCGCAGCACCCACCAAGTGGCTGTTTCTGTCAGCCGACTGCCGGGCATTATCCAACTGATCAAGACGGGGCGAGATTGAATGTAGGTTAGTGAGCGACGCCAAGTTTGCTAATCTGACCAAAGGACTCGGGTAAGAGTTACTATTAGGGCTCTAGGCAGTGAGGTTTTGGGTTAAACAAACACTTTTGATTGTGTGGCTCATATTGAAACTCGTGTTATTGTTTGCATTTGACGTTTGCATTTCACTCTTAGGGTTAGTGTTAAGGGTTCTGATTTGCATTACGAGTGTGTAGATCAGTTTAAAAAGTTAGCGATTCAGGTTATGTAGCATCGCTGGTTACTGTTTAGCGGTCTGGATTAGCATTAAGTGAGGGTTAGCATTTAACATTTAGTGTTTATCTATTTGTGTGAAGGTTTATCAGTTAGTCTAAGTGTTAGTGGTTAGCATTACGTGAGCGGAAAGGGTTAGTGTTAGCACAAGGGTTGTGATTAGCAATTAGGTCTGGATTTGGGCTTAGGACAGGGGAGGGCAACTCCAACTCAATATCAGAATTCTGCAGAGTTTGCTGATGACCAGATCATTTGAATTGCATGTGTTGGAGAAAGAAAACCTCTAAAACAAGCAGAATCAGAGTTACCCACCCCTGGGTTAGGGGTTCACATTTGCACAAGGTTTTCAGAGTCAGAGGAGGAGCTGGGTTGGCATTAGCCGCAGGACTAATTGCTAGGCTAATGTTAGTGGTGTAGAGTTATTACTTGGGAACTGTAGCTAACATTCGTGTTGGGGCTATGCCTAAGGACAGAGGTTAGAGTTACTGGTTTATTTACGTTACTCTTAAGGCCGAGGGTTTAGAGTAGAGACTTGTTCGCATTTGCACTGGGGTTAGGGGTTAGCTGTTACATTTTAGTGGCTACAGTTAGCATTAGGGTCAGGGTTACGCTAAGTGTTGGCAGTTAATACAAGTCTTTGGGTTAGAAGTTACCGGTGGCCAAACTGATGAGTGGGTGGATCATGTTGAAGCTGTTATCATTAGCATGAGGGCTAGGAGTAAGTGGTAACAGGTTAGATTTTGCTTAGCATTAGCATTACAATTAAGGCTGTGGGTTGGGCTAGAGTTAGTGGTTAGCATTAGGATTTAAAGTTAGGGGTTAGCCTTCACAGTCAGAAGTCACGGTTAAGGTGTTATATTAGTATTTATGGTTCACGGCTAGGGTTAGGACTTTAGTCATGAAACAGATTGACGAGTGTGTACATGAACACATTCTGCTTTAAAGGCCTACAAATGTCCCAGCTTGGACAGCAGGCGGCGCCATGTTGCAGTTTACCTTAGCGTTATAAGTCTTCTCCAGCTCAGCTTTGTAAAGTCCAACCTGCTCCTCATGCTGAGCCCTCAGCTCGGCCAGAGCCTCTGCCAGTTTGCTCTCAAACTCCAGCTGCCGCCCACTGTCGATCTCCACCATGCGAGACTCGTGACGACGCTTGGACTCGCGGATTTCCTGCGACACAGAACGTCCATCGGTCATTCATACGGCAAACAATAAGCTGGCGGCTGATCGGCCAAAAATTGACACCTCGTTGTAGAGGTTCTTCTGGAACTCCAGCTCCTCTTTCACTGTCTGCAGACGGTTCTCGGCATCCACGCGACGAAGCATCTCATCTTGAAGCTGACGACGGGCGTCTGCCAGGGCACCGTCCAACTGAGGGGTCAGAGAAGCCCAAATGCCTTAGTTAGTTTCTTTAACATTTCAAGGTGTAAGACAAATGTTGCTATTCCAAGCTAGGAAGATCTCAAACAAAAGCAAAATCCTAGCAGGAAAAAAACAGGTTGTGGACCTGATCAGAATTAAAAAGGCAAAGAACTGTTCTGAGAGGAGGAATATAATGATGAAGGACAAGGAGGAAACAGAAATGAAAAAGGAACTACGGGTACATCCAGAATGTAAAATGATTTGTTTTACAATTTTTCTATTTAATAATTTGCAGCATATCAGCTAACTACAGTATCTATCCATCCATCCTTCCGATTACTGTAGTTCTATTTGCATAAGTCCTACAGGGGAAAATTCCAGAACTGTGAAAAAACAAGTCATTTCTGAAAGTGCCAGTAGGTGGAGCAATCAGGCAACTTTAGCTTCATTCATAAAAATCAGCTACCAACCCTCAACCAGCAATTCAAATGTGGTGCCCAAGTCTTTTGTTTACCTTGGCTAGCTGAGCCTTGAGCTCCTTGATCTCGACCTCCAGGGTGCGCTTCTCGCCCAGGGCTGTACTCAAGGCGGCATCTTTGGAGTTAAGCAGAGCCTCCAGGTCCCGGAGGCGGGCCAGAGCTGCGTCCAAGTCGGACTCCTTCTTGCTGTTCCTGTCAAACACATCACCACCACCAAGATGACGATATCAAAATCATAGTACTAACAACTGAATAAAATGTGTTGTGCATCATGATACATCATTGTGGAAAATGTTCCACTAAACATTCCAGAATTCATCATGTTTGTTCCAAATGATTCCGTTAAGGATTTCTAATGCTCAAAAAGTACACGGGGCTGCTGGGTAATGGTCTTTTTGTTTCCACCCTCTTCAAAATCATGTGCTTGCTTTACACCGCATGACCCAAAACGCCTTGTACTTTAACACGTGTTGCACATGTCGCCATCAACACGCTACAATTAGCCGGTAAGCACCCATTAAGCTCTAGTTCTTCGCCGAGGAGAATTCATGTTTGCCACATGTGTGCAGTTTCAGATAAGACTGTAAGCAGGAAAGAAGACAGAAACAAGCTCGCTGTAATTCAATTTGCTCCCAGGGGAATCTCTTCATTGTATCTTGTTACTGTGACTTATTGTGGCTTGAATGTGGGCAGACAGGGCCAGGAGCTAAAGAGGCTAAGCTATCAAACGATATGCTAAACGCTAACAGCGCTTGATTGTTTTACTGCGTTTGCACAAAAGCATTTTGCACCATTTTGATCACCAACATTAGCACCAATGCTAGCACTAACACTGACTATTATACGTTATGGTAAAGCAACCTTTTTTTCCACACCTTGGGAACTTTTCAAGGATGTATTTGTCAGCTGAAAGTATTTTTCCAAGGAGGCCCCGCCTCACCAGTACAACGATATGTTTAGCGTGATGAAGTTGGAGGAAGTGCAGTGTTCTATTGGGAAACAGACGTATGGACCAGCCGAGCCTTGCAGTTTGATGGCACATTTTATGATCTTAAGATGATGAACATATGAATGTATTAAGGATTGTACATGATTTATATACCGGTACAAGTTTTGACCAAAAAAAAAAAGTTTTTTTCACCAAGGGGGGCAGGTTGCAAGTTTATGGTCGCAAAATGTCAAGAATTTTTCAACACTGAGACGAGCTGACAAGCAGCAATCAGCGTCAATAAAGACGCTAACATGTCTCAAGATAGGAAAAATGACACCCGCTGTCTACTGATAAGGAATGATAACGCATGGTTGTATGGTTCCGCCATAATGAGTTCATTGGAGACCCTGTATGCATGTTTTTGCCTTTTCTTTTTTGTTGAAATCATCACAAAATAAAACCAGTGATTGCCAACAAGTCGATAACTATACTAATCCGAAATGAAGTGTGGGAAAGCGGCATATCGCCCGATCAATACAATAAGGTTGTAAAAGTGGAACACATTGTACAAGTTGTAATTGAGTTCAGCTCTTTTTGCACTTGTATGACAGCCAAGGATGTTAAAAGGTTACCTAAAACCCACTGCAGTTAGTAGTTCATCCATTATTTCCGATGGAGAAAAACGATCTTCATCTTGCCCTTGTTAGACATGAGTTGCAGTCACCAACAGAATGGACTGCATATGCCACTGGTTTACTATGTGTGCGTGCGTGTGCGTGCGCAATCGTGTCCTTTGATGTCATGTACTATTTAGATCTTCACTAGTGTCTGTGTATGTGAGCTCTTCCCGAAGGCAAGACAGCCTGTTTATATCATCTAAGACTGATTTGTGTAACAACAGAGCCTCTGAATAAACGACTTAGGAATGTCTCACTCAATAGCGCCGCCCCCCCCCCCCCCCCCACAAACAAAACCCCCAAACCCCCGCCACCCAAACATTTTTTTTCCACATGGCGCGCACCAAAAAAAAAAAAAAAAAAAAAAAATCTGAAGGACACATGCCCAAACTTAAAACAGGATGTCGGCCATTTTCACTTGAAGCAGCCATTTTGGGGCTTTGAGAAACTTGTACTACGGAATTTGCCCAAATAGGATACAGGTATCCTAGAAAGACAGACGATGGTATATTGCCAAGTTCTGTGCGTATGGAATTGAATATGGGCGGAGCATGGCGTCAAACTTTGCTCATTTTGAGGCTTGCGAATGAAATGTGTGGATTGGGTCTCTGTAAATTGTGGTTGATGATGGTAACCTGAGTCGTATGTGACACCGTGAGGAGGGTAGAAGGGGTGAGAGAGTGTGAACAGAAAGACGGGAAAGAATAAAAGAGGAGAAATGTGAGGAGGAGGAGGAGGAGGAATGTGTTGGCTCTCCTCCCAGCCTCAGCGATGACTCACAGGCAGCTATCTTTGTCCACCGCGCCAGCCACAAGCAAAAAAAAAAAAAAGAAAAAAACCCTTCCTGCTTCCCATTCTGCCCAGGTTTGCTTTGGTGTTGCCAGGACAACCCAGGCCTCGACGTCAGGGCTACTAGCATGAGCCAGACGCGACACATGGTATGCAACGTGAAAATTGTCATTTTTACACCACGATACAAAGAGGAGGGAAGAGAATCACAGGGTAGGGCATTCACTAAGGGTGAGGCCTTGATTTCTACAAACGCATTTTTTAAAAGCTGAATGCTAAGCTACAGTATGTGAAATGTATTACAATTATTACATACATGATTTGTTGGGCACAATTGTAACATAGGTTGCCTGTCCCCAAAATTTTACAAAAACAAAATATATTTTTAAATGATTATTCAACTACAAATTTTAATTACTGTTAATATTGCAATGGTTATACCCCATACAGTAGATAAAATAAAATATATTTTAAATTATTTGAATGAAAAATATTGCATTCATTTTGAGGATTCTTTGAAAGTTAAAAAAAAAAAAAAAAACAGACAAAAAAAAAAACAAGGTGAGCCCGGGACACCAGCTTCGCTGATCTAAACGAACCGGGCAGGACGCACCAAAAAGTCTCCAAGAGCCATTGCCCAACTTGAGCAGGAAGTCGGCCATTTGGGTTTACAATAGTTATTTTGTGCAAATTCCTTCACAAACACCCCTTGGGAAGAATGAAAAAAAATAGCTCATAGGCCACTTTGACAGATTTACATGAATCTGGGTGGCCATTTAAAAAAAGTCTCAAGAACCCATGCCGCAAATTAAAGAGGAAGTCAGCCATTTTGGTTTTAAAGCAGCCATGTTGGACAAACTCCTACTATGGGATTTGCTCCCAGAAGTCACTTACCACATTCTACAAGAGACAAATTCCTTGTGTGTTGTTTTACATACTTGGCCAAGAAAGACTTCTTATGAGTTGGAAAGCTGGTATGCTACACAAATGAGATGCTAGTTTGGTTCAAATGTAGACAAAATGGAAATGGAAACTTTTTGTTGGACGCATGCTAGTTTGACACCAATCCCACTCCTCTATCTCAGGAGGCGCAGCACTGTTTGCACTTTTAACACTGACATCGGTCCTCGCATGCCTGGATTGTATGTAATTTCGTTCTACACGTGTGGTGTGCAACACACAATTAGTATACTGTACAGCAGAGTGTAAGTTGAATCATAAATTAATCCATTTAATTATTTGCCAAGCTTGTATGCCTCACACCAACTAACATGGCTAGGTGGGGAGGTTCTGAGCTCACAATTTGGTGACTGTTGCTTTTTTTTTTTTTGGAAGAGACCATTTGTTAAAACGAGGCCCACCAGCCGCCACCTCATGCTTGGACAGCTGGACCAGGCCGGCACACAGCCGTCTTGTTTGCGCCATTTCGGTTGTCAACAGTTGCCTACCAGGGCCCTGCAATTGGGTGGAAAGGAGGCAGGGTTACCAGCTATTCATCTCAGTCTCACACACACACACACACACACACACACACACACACACACACACACACACACACACACATCTGGTGAGCGTGTGTGAGTGTCTATGGGTGTGGGTGGGGTTTTCCCAACGAGTCCCCATCCAAACATAGGACAAAAAGGGTTTTCCCAAATTTGTATAGATTCTTTGATCTAATCAAAGCTCAAAGATCTAGTTAGGTCTCTTATGCAGAAAAGGTAGCAAAATGGAAGAAGTCACATGACCACCGCTGATGGGTGGAGGACAATGCGCAGCATTGTGTGTGTGTGTGTGTGTGTGTGTGTGTGTGTGTGTGTGTGTGTGTGTGTATTATGCGGCATGCAAAATGTACTCATGATGAGAACAAACGCCGTGGCTGTTTCCAGTTTCAAAAAAAAAGCACCGCACGCCTCAAGGCTCCCAAGCTGTGGCGGAGTTGCTATTGGGGGGGGGGTGTCACTGTGGGTAGAAGGTGTGGCAGAGAGCAGGTCGTGGGTCGTCTAAGAGGGAGGGTGTTGCAAAGTGGGTAGAAGGGCTGAAACAGAAGAGCTAGAGGGAGGTAGAGGAGTCTGGGTGTTGACAAAAGAGGCGGCGCTATGCCTTTTGTTTGGCGCGTCACCATGAGAAACTCAGTCAACTTCATCTGTATGCAAACACTGTAGCTTGGCAAACACACAGTCACTCAACAGTGTGTGTGTGTGTGTGTGTGTGTGTGTGTGTGTGTGTGTGTGTGTGTGTGTGTAAGTAAAATACGAGGTGCCATTGTGCCATCCCCGTGTGGTTGTGCAATGATTCAGGAGAGAATGAGTCACAAGTTCTGACTAGTTTTTCAAATTTCATTCATTCATCCTGATAACCTGTTTGTAGTCATCTTCTGATGATTGTCATATCACAACAAAAACGTTCATCATAATGAACAGTACCCCATTGAATTCACCACATAGGAATAAAAGATGTGGCGACATTTTTAATTTTTTTTTTATGAGGCTTTCCTGCCATTGTTTGAATTAGCCCAAGGTGGGATTAGATGATCTTTTTTGTAAACACAATTAGTTTACGATCACTCATACAATAAAGGTCATGCAGGTCAATAAAATACTATATTTTTAGCTATGAAAAAATAAAACATCTGTGGATAATTTTGCTATAAGTCAAAGCTGCTGCAGTATACAGCCTTCTGGGAAACTACCCGTCGTCCAAATATAAAAGCGTTCAGATGGTTCAAAGTGAAACGTTATTACATGTTACATAAGTAGCCACACTGAATGGAAACCCACCAGCTTTTTACCCGTGGCCCACTGGGAATTATTCATCCGCCATTTTACAGTGATTTACAGTGACTCACAGAGAGCCGAGCCGACGCCAAACTTCCACGGAAACTTCTATAAACTCTTGCATGCACACAGACATGCACACACGCACACAACAGCAACTCGCCTGCCAAGAACTTCACTTGCCAACGGGTTGTGCAGACCGAATCTCCTCATTTATACAATGTGGGGGGAAAAAAAAGCAGCTTTGGGACACATCTGCTGTACATTTCCACAGTAGACAACAATCCCTTACTGTTAGCTTTAAAAAAAAAAAAAAAGGCAGAATTTTTGTTTCATTTCTGACATGAGTCCTTGGGACTTTTTCGTAAAACCTGTCAAGAACAAATTTCACGTCAAACGGTACCAGGCTAATTTCTCATAACTCTCCGAAGAACAAGCCATGAATGTGTCCAAAATGGCTGTTCCAAACCAAAATGGCTGACTTCCTGTTAAGTTTCAGACCTGAGTGCTTGAGATTTTTTTCATGTCCGCTCAATTTTGTGTCAGTAGGGGAAACTGGTGTTTTTTTTTTTTTTTTTTTTTTTTTATAACTTTCCGACAATTGTCAAAAGGATCAAACTTGTCACCATGCTCCACCTACATTAGATTGCATGTTTAAAAAAAAGCTTCACAATCTCATGTAGCCCAACTGTTGAGGATAACTGCTTCCGTTTGGGGGTTTATTTGGTGAATTCTCCAGTAAAAATTCGTAAGTATACGACGTATAAACCCCCCACCATGCCCCCCCTTCTCCCCCAAAAAAATGACTGCTTCAAACCAAAATGGGCACATTTTTGTTTCATTTTGGGCATGGGTCCTTTAGACTTTTATGTGTACAAACATGTCCACCTAAATTGTTGTTGATCAAGTAAACAGATGTTCATGATTTTATTTTATTTTTTACTTGGCAACATTAAAAGTCAGAGCCCTCGAATTTATAATTCCAGAATTTATATCCAGAATTCTTATAATTCTGGACATGTCCACTCAATTTTGCTTGCACTGGGGCAAATAGTGAATTTTCTTTTATACTTATTATAGCCACGTGAGCTTCAAGAAAAATGTGCAATGTGATAAGGGAATTTATCCTTTGTTGCCATTGTATTCAAACTCTTCACGTTCAAGCTTGTCCAGCCGTGGCGTGTTCATGAATCTTTTTCACGCCCTCCATTCTGCCGCCGCGCCCTAAAACCGCCACCCTCCCAACTGGGAGGTTATACAGCAGGTAAATCCTTCTTTGTGAACGGCCAACAAACTTTGACTACATTAGACAGAATTACAAGCAGGGCGGGCAATCAATGTTAAGGTCCACTATAATGAAAATATCAACATAAAACAACTTAAAAAAAACAAAACAACAACAACAATGCATCATAATATCAAAGTGACTGAATGTTAATAAAGATCATCAATAGTTATATTAAATAAATGCTGCACATTGTGTAAAATATTTTTTACAATAAAGAAAGAAAAAGGTGTCAAAAAATTAATAGAAAACTTAATTTGGCACAAAAAACATTTACAAATAATTAGTTGTAATATATTTATATAAAAAACGGACCACAAAAAATAAGGAATATTTATACAAGATTTGTTGAAACAGCCAAGACAAGCCATAGACAAAACAGATTAAAACGAAATCAAAAAAAAATCTATCATCGAAGAACTAAGCTATCAAAATCTTTTCAAACATTAACACTGACTAGAAATTTGAGCGTATAAAATATAAATTAAAATGTGTAAAAAAAATTTTTTATTCTTTTAATGTGTATATTAATTGCAATAAATCAATTAGTTATCGTTAAAATCTAATATTTTACAACATTTATTTTAAAACTGAAATAGTCTCCCCCGCCCAAAAAAAACTTCAAAAGCTTGGATAAAAATACTTTCAATTATAAAATTTGAGAAATTAATTGACCACTGGAAAAAAAAATTGCTGTACAGCAATGAGCTCCATCAGCACTCCTCTCCTTCCTTATTTCCATATTAAACAACTTTGAATGAGGAACCGTTGACGCCAACAGCGCGAGCTTCTGCCTGAGGGCGGCCATGCGGTTGGGGCCAGGGTGCATGTGTTCTCTGTAGTAGTTCTACATTAACACTTTCTATTCATGCGAACATACTTTACCATTTGCCCACATAGTCACTCATTCCAAACTCGGCCAATCAGATGGGCCCTGCTGAGTCACCAAGCACTCACGAGGGAAGGCTGAGGCTTGACGGTCGCTGGGGCAACCAAACACAAAGCAGCCCAAGGCGCTGCTAGCTGTGCAAATGGGGTGATTCCGGACCTCAACTGCTCATCGCACGTCACGAGATTGAAGCTGATAATCACTTTGGGTTTAGAAAGACTACAACTGGAAATACAAAGCTTCTGCTAGTGGGAGGTAAACATTTCTATGGGTCCACTATACTATATTTAGCACCAATTTTCCTTTCGGCCCTCCACCCGTGCTTGTAGACTGCTCCACGACATTCCCGGGATGCCAGTGTTACCTGCGGCATCCCGCAAAACAATCCGGCATGTCGTCACCCAAGGGAGATGTTAATTTGACGACAATCCGCAGGCTGCTGGTTAGTCTCCAGACGTCCATCAGCCCAAAGATTTTTACATACGCTACGTACACGACTATAGAAAGCCTGAAGGTGTTAATTTGTTTCCCAAATTTGTCAAGCTAGAACAGATCCTCCCCTAAAAGTAAGTCTCTAAATCAGAAGCATAAGGAGCTTAAAATGTCTGCTTCAAAATAAATTTTAAAAAATGGCGGACTTCCTGTGCACGCGCTCCATGAAAGTGGCTTTGGGTGCTATCAAAAATCTAACAATGTCCGCTTCAAACCAAGATGGCTGGCCAAATGTCATGTTGATGAAGTCAAACAGCCTGCAAGGAATGAATTAAAAAGAATAGTTCATTCCTATCTTGCAAGGAAATTGCCAAAACAAGCTTAAAATGGCAGCTTCAAACCAAAATGGCCAATTTCCTTTGTGTTTTCCAGCATGGCTACTTGAGACCTTTTTGTGGGTCTACTCATGATGGACAAGCCTACCAAACTTAATGTGACCAAGTCAAATTGGCTACAGAGACTGAATTTAAAAAAAGAAAAACTCATTCCTATCTTTGAAGGACCCATGGAAATCACCAAAGCAAGCCGAAAAATATCTGAAATCCTGTGTGTTTTCAACCATTGGTTCTAAAAACTTTTTGTGGGTCTCCTCATGATAGGCATCTACCAAATTTCATGTGAAGTGAAATGGGCCAGGGTAGTTGAATTAAAAATAATAATTGGTGGCCAATAGTATAAAGGCACCAAAACGAATTCAAATGAAAATGGTCAACATCCTGTAGGTTTGTCAAGTTTACTCATGATAGACATGCCGACTAAATTCCATGTTGTCAAACTGGTTTCAGGCCAGAGATAAATTTTAAAATGCTCTAGGAGATGTTTAATGAAGGAGAATAGAAAAGGAAATGAATGTCGGGAGGAAAAGGTCAGATTGATCCTCGAGTAGCCTCTTCAAAATCAATTGGTTAGAATTGTGACTTTTTGTGCGTCTTCTTGAGTCTTTTTGATGGGCTGCTCATGAGAGACATTCCAACCAAATTTCATGTTGCTAAAGGAAAATTGGCTTTGCAGGGTATTCCCCACAAATTTGGCTTGCGCGCTCAAGTAATCCAACAATGGCCGCCCACTTCAAACCAAAATGGCTGACTTCCTGTGTGATTTTGAGCATGGCTTCTTGAGACTTCTTTGCGGGTTTACTCATGATCGTCATGTCCCCCAAATTTCATGCTGCCAATTGCACTTGGCTTTGGAGTCTGACTCAGCCCCCCCCCCCCTCCAAATGGCAAAGGAAACATCCATCAAGCCTCCTTACCTGGCTTTGAGCTCCTTGTACTCCTCCCTGACCTTGCCCAGCTCCAGCTGCAGACGAGCCCGCTCCCTGGCCACCTGGTCCAGGGTCTTGCGGGCGTCGGCTAGCTCGGCCTCGTACGCCGCCTTAATGCCGCTCAGGTCTCGGCTGACATGCGACTCGGACTCGGTGATGCGCAAACGCAGGCCCGCGTTCTCTGCCTCCAACGAGCGCACCTTGTCGATGTAAACGGCCAGCCGGTCATTGAGGTTGCACAGGTCCTCCTTCTCCTGCAGGCGGGTGATCCGGGCAGGCGAGCTGGCACCGCGCCCGCTGCGTCTCTGGGTCGACGTTTCCATGGCGATGGCGGCAAAGGCTTCGGATCGGGCCGGTCACTGCGGGGTTCGCAACAAAAAAATTCATTCATTTATTCATTCCCTTCTCTACTCCCGAATCACTATTGGGATTTTTTTGTGAATATTTTTTTTTTTTTTTTTCGGGAACAATTCTGCATAGCCAGTACGAACCTTGTTGTATTTCCATTGAGACTTTTTTTTTTTAGATAAGTAGTAATAAAAACTTTCCACAAGCTTCTAGGTTCAATTCATTTCAATGTCAGTGCCTGTTATTTTTATTTTTTACAACCTCTATTATTCTAGTGAGGAAGGCTGGACGCATTTCCTGGCTCAGTCGCACAAGAACAAGCGTCCATCTCAATGAGTCTTCCTGTTCAACCAGACCTGGGGAAACATTTGTTCTTAAAAAATAACACATTTTAGATTTTTTTTTTTTTTTTTTTTTAAATGGACAGATTGGCCAATTCATCTGTAGATGAGGATTTAGAATTAAATATAAATTCACTCATTTAAAATACATCACCATTCTGGATTATAGTAGCTTTGGAGTTAGTTTTTTTCACTTGAACGTTTAAAAAAAATCAGTTTCATTTTTTTGTGTATTTTTGTTTCGACGTATGATATTTATTGAGTGGAGGATTTTAAAGTCGAAAAATTTAGTTTTGTGAACATAAATGTAGTTTCAATTCATCTTTGTTTCTAGAAAAGCACTCGTTCTTACTTCATTAATGAAAATGTGTTTTCAATTGTAGTTTTCATTTTGCTGTTAACCATAATAACCTTGCACGTTAACAAGCACAATCAGACTCGAGTTTCTACGGCAACAGCTGTCAAGCAGTTACTCAACATACAGGCTGGCTCACAGGTTAGCCAGTGAACAGCTACCCAACACCACACTGTAATTTGCAGAACCCCATGTCACTCACCAGGCCAAGCCCCGCCTTTTAAAGCCACATAGACTCGAGTGGAATGTGACGATCGCAATGCCCAAGTGGACACAAATCATACCTGCACCTCACATGTGCATGTTATTATGTTTGAATTCATAAACGCAAAGTAAATTCTTATGCATTTATTCAAACAATCTATAGAAAACCCAATTCTAAAAATATTCAATAGCTGCAACCCTACTCACGAGTTATGAAACAAATTCATCAGTACACATTATTGCAATTTAACAAGTACTTTGTATTGAGAGATTTTTGCTCTTCAATAAACATTTTAGTATTTAAAAAAAGGATATTCCAGATAAATGTTGTAATTGTACTTTTTTACCATGCAGTACAACCACAGCATAACGATGCCTTCAGGAGCACTATCATCAGAGCTATCACCATTACACACCAGGACACCCACTTTGGGAAAAGTCCACTCGGAGGGGGGGCTCCCAAGTGGGCGGCCAAACTTTTTGCCACCCACCAGCCTCACTGACATGTGCGCGCACAACACCCACATGAGCAGCCAAGTCCTGAGCTCTCTCCACACTCACTCAACATATAAAAGTGCTCATTAATACACAAAACCGCCCATTTAATACATCAAAGTGCTCATTTACACTCTTCACTCAGGTGCGGAGCTTTTAACCAGCACCTACTTTCCAAACTATCCTATTCCCACCCCATCTAAAAGCTGTTCCCGACCTCTCCCGGGCCACATGGAAACGCTTCAAACAAAAAGGAAGGAAAAAGACGGAGAAGTTTAGACCTTACCTTTTCAGGGCTGCAAATGGAGGCAGAAGCTTGCTCGACGTGTGTGTGAGCGTCAAGGAGGAGGAGAAAAAGAAGAAGAGTACTCGCTTACTGGTTATGCGAGTGTGAGTGTGCGTGCGTGTGTGCGCGCGCGCGTGAATGTCTACGCCTGGAAAACTGGACTGCTTTCCGGCTTGTAGGAAGACAGGGAGGGACGGAGGGCGGCAACTAGGAGGAGTCAGGCTAGACTGCGAGACTGTGTGCGTGTGCATGTGTGTGTGTGTGTGTGTGTGTGTGTGTGTGTGTGTGTGTGTGTGTGTGTGTGTGTGTGTGAAGTGCAGCTGTTAAACTCTATCTGAGCTCACACAGACAAACTGACAGATAGACGGAGACCTTCGCAGATGTGATGACACGAAGCCGGCGCCCCCTAACTGAAAGTCTGTGTATGACTATTACAGTGAAAGCCCATTTATCATGGGGTTACGTTCCAGAACCACCCGCAACAGGTGGAAAATCTGTGATATACATAGCAACCAAACCCTCCAAAATATCCAACCAAACCATATCATTTGGTCTAATGAACACCTGCTAGCTTAATGCTAACATATGATGCAAAACACTAATAAATTCAATGTTAGGGTAATTCTAAACCTTCAATAAATTTCTACTTCAACACACACAGAGCAGCAACACTCACTACAAGAGTATACAATACCCACAGACTACCCCCTTCCCCTCCACACGCACAGTTTTGATACAGGTGTGTCGCATCAATATTGTCACGCTCTGACGCTGAAACATCAACACTGCATATCTATTAGAGGCAATAAATAATATCGCAAGTGATGTATCATTGAGGCTTATGATACCGTGTCAACATAAAAATTCACTATTGATATCGTATCGTTTGACTTATGAAGCAGTATCAATACATAAGCGTCAATTGTCAAAATAGTTTCTCACTATGTGTGTGCTAAGAGCAGGACATAATATGATTTATGGTTTTGGCTGCTGACAGTGTATTGATACAAGACAGTAAAAAAGATATATATTTCGGTATGGTGTCCCACAGGGATATGTATTAGCACCCCTTGTTTGTTTGCGCCAGAAAATAATACATCTTAAAAGAAATCTGCCTACTATCTATCAAATACACAACAAATATTTTTGTGTGACAAACAGGACATTCTATATTAATGCATTCAATATACTGTAAAGTACTCTAAATATAAACACTGGCCACAACATTTGTTCCGTTGTTATCTATTAAAAAAAAAGAAAAAAAAAAGACAGTCCTCACTTCTTCAAAGACATCCTGTGTATGCAATCGTCTGCGTCCCCATGAAGAAGCTTCTGGTGGTCCATTAAACCCAAAAATGGAGAACAAAAACTCCTGAAATCTGAAATTCCCATTGTGGATCCAACACTTCACAAGAGAAATCTTCAAACGTCGCAATGAGGAGATGTTGATTTTGCTTTTATATGTTTTCTCTCTCTGGGTGGAGTTTATGGAACCATGGAAATGGAGAGGATACAAAGACAGGCACAAAGACGTGTACGTTTGCATGTGTGTGTGTGTGTGTGTGTGTGTGTGTGTGTGTGTGTGTGTGTGTGTGTGTGTGTGTGTGGTTAAATATGGACCAAGTCCTGGTTTGGTCTGGTGGCAGGCGTAGTGGAAAGCAGCAGTCAAAGTTTTAAACAACCTCCTCCTCCTTTTTTCCCCGAAGTTGTCTTTCCATGAAATTTTTACTGACTCACCCGTCAACAACCCAGACTGGAAGATGATCATCAAACATTGACGCCATGCCCAAAATGGCTGTGTCAAACCAAAATGGCGGACTTCCTGATCAATTCGGGAAACGCTTCCTTGAGACTTTTTGGTGCATCCTATCATGCTAAACAAGCACATCCAATTTCATCTTGATCAGAAAAACTGATGTCGAGGTGGTTCTTAACTATGAGATGTGAATTTACCCAAGCTAGCAAGCAGGCTAGTGAAGTTAACTTGTCAGTATCTCGACATCGATTTACAGCCTGTATTGGGGCAATAATTGTGGTGTGCGATCCTAAAATGTTTGCCGCCAGTATTGCCTATTCCAAAACGATTGAAAATTCCAATACAATTGAAAGTTAACGGTGTATGCATCACGAATTTGCTTAATCTCTTAACTGGTCTGTTCCTGTCCTTTCTGAAAATCTTTTTTTTTCTTTTCTTGGCTGCACTGCTTTCAGAAGTTAGATTTTTTTTTTTTTTTTTAGTCCAATCAGATCTCAGTTTCTGTGTCGCCATGCCAAACTAATCTGCCCAGGGCCTTCACAATCAAGAGTGCTGCACCTTGTCCCTTCAACTATATTTTATGGGATTGTTTCTTTATCCGAGCGCATTTTAAATTCGTTCTGACATCTGAATTTAACCATCCTGATTGGTTGGTCAGATCCAAACTTTTCAAAACATGAAATATTGTAAATATAATACATATTGATCGTCATGCGCTCCAGACGATGGACATGGCAGAGTTGTGTGCTGTTATATTGTGGTTTGGTGTAGGAGCAACGGTTTCTATAATTGTGAGATGTTAGTGGTGGTTGGGACCCGCAACTGGTCCCTTTCTAATATAAACTTTTAGAAATTGATGACAATCCAGCTCCCCAGACACTTTCAAGATTACAGATCTGATTAGAGTGGCTGTGTGTCGAGCGACTGTGATGTAACACGTCCGACGAGGCGAGAAGCAAACACGAGTCGGGCCTGCAACATTCCAAGCAGGCACACACAACACTAAAGGTGTGTCTGTCATCTTTGACTTACTACACGTTCTCACACACGGAAGAATGTCAACCTGGATTGTAAACGTGTTTGTAGAAAGAAAAAAAAAAGGGTTAATAAACCAGGGCCTCCCGCTCCGGTTTTGAAACCTGACCTCCCGCTATTTTTTTTCTTTTTCTTTTTAAATTCAATAAAGGGCACTGGCAACAAAAGTATAGCGATGAACATTCCCCAGTGGTGGGAGCTAACAAAGAACAAATACTTTGTGGTACTTGGTGGTTGCACTTTTTGCAGGTATCAGTAATTTACATGCCTCCATGTGAAAATGTGTACTTTTGACTGCTTTGTCAAAATAGTCTTGTGATATGTATATTTTCAACCGTGGGTCAAAGTGTAATTGATTGAGATCCTTGTGTCTGAAAAGAAACATTAAAATGACAGCTAAGAAGATTCAGATGCAATGTGGAATTAGCAAAATTTTTGCTTGATGGGTACATTGAACATATTTTTAAAATTTTTATTAGTACATTTCAAAAATGTAAATTTCACACTGATAACATTTGGTATTGGAGTAACTATTATGAATAAGTCATGGTAGCAACGTCGCACCCATGGATAACGTCGGCCTTCTTACAAGAGGGCTGAACAATTTTCAAACATAATCTAATTGCAATTTTGTTCTTGCGATTGCGATTTAATTTGAGATTTATTTTTCAAGATCCTCAAGAAACAGTATCAGATTTATGAAACAAATGTTTTGAGTGAAGTGAATCTACATTCATATTTTGCTGGCAGTGTGATCACGGCAAACTCTGCAATGCATCCAAGCTAAAGAACCACATTTGGGTACTGTAGTGTTTAAACCCTTTACTTTTTTTATGCACTGAAGTACAGGGTGTGAGCATTGACACTTCTGACATGCCCATTTGCCAGAGTGCAAATGTATAACACAAAGCGGGTTGTTCACATGTTAATGATTCAAAAGAATCCTATCGCCCTCTCGGGAAATCTTGTTTCGATAGCACACACACACACACACACACACACACACACACACATTAAAACAGAGTGACGTGTGTTATCATTGCAGTGTCATTTTCCCTTCCTGGGTGGGGCTGCTGAGGACAAGGCCACACACAACACACACCCACACCCACACCCACACCCACACACACCCACACCCACACCCACACAAGCGCGTGCCAAGGCTCCTTTCCGACAGGGAAAGCCAACAGGCTCCCAAAATCAGTGGGTCCAATCTTTTTGGATAACGCTAAATATGGGAAATTTAAACGCTTTATAGCGGTCTTCAATCACGTTCTGGTATCAATAGGCAAAGGGTCGGATCAAGAGGATGTTTTTGGGCATGCACATAATTGTTTGACCTGAGGGATGACGGTTCAACATGGAAAGCAATGTACACTCAAAGTGTACATTGGGTTCTACTGCTAATAGTAATGATGACGATCATGATGATGATCACAACATTGCAACAAAACGGCTTTTCTTTCACTTTCAGTGTTTACATTTTGAATATGTTTGTGGGATTAAGTACATTAAGAACAGTTTTGAATACATTTTATTTTAAATTTGTTTTAGTGTTGATACTAGACATCAGTTATTTTTGTGCATATTCAAAATTTTAATAGCATTTTTTTGTTCATTTGTTTTGCTTTATTTTTCTTTACACTAAGTAGTTTTTATTGTTCTTAGTTTTTGTATTTTTTTTTGTTTAGTTTTTTCAGACGTGTTTATTTCTGAAATTAAATGATTTAACTTCTTTCAAAAATATTTATTGAGTCACCTTTATTTTTTTATTTTTGTCTCAATTGATTTTAGTTGTTTTTTTTTAGGTTTTTTTAATTTAGTTGAGGGTTTTGATAAATCATTTCGACATTATTTTTTTTTACCTCATTACATTCATTCAGTCAGTCAGTCACATTTCCTTTTCTCTTTTTCCATTTAATTTATATGAATTGTTGATGTCTCTGTGACGCCCTCTGCCGACCTTTGACACAACCAACAGGCCCGCTCAGAAATCCGCTGGCGTCATCTAGCGACGGAGGAGCCAAAAGACAACATTCCAACAATATGTGCGCACTCTTGAGGAGGTTACAGAGTTCATGACGTCACCTAATGTAAACAACCAGCTAATTTAAACAAATAGCTAACACCAAAAACCCAAAACCGGAAACGATACCTGACTTTTCTCGAATCTTCCTCGAGGTCGTCTTCCGATCCGGCGTCTGTGCCACGCGTGATTTGCGTCAAACAACACTCACGCCGCAGTGGGCCCACTGTCACATAGCAGGAAAAAGCAGACACGTGAGGAAAAAAAACCCACGCGTTGAATCCAGGGAAGAAGAAGAAGCCGCTTTAGTGCGCACTGGCTGCAAAAACTAAACACGCACACAAGGAGGGAATGTTGTCTGACTGAATGTGTGGCGTGGGAGTAGACTTGCTCGCTAGCTTTGCTTAATTGCACAGTGCCACCTGGCGGACGTAATTGGCAATCAGGGAGGTTATTTGGGGGGCGGGGATCAGGTGCCGTATTTATGGGAAGACGTTTCAGCATTAATTTTATATTACTGACGTGGAACAAAGCCGTTTGGATATACACACACACACACACACACACACACACACACAAAAAAAAGAAAACTAGCACACCATGAAATTTGTGCTTCATAAAAATACAGTTATGACAATCATATTGAATTCAACAGAATGAAACAATTTTTATCACACTGCATCAATTGGCTATTGTGCTGTCTGACAAACGAATATCCTGCATAGTCATTCTTTGCAAAGTGTAAAGAATATATGACTGAGTTCTGTTATATTGTCTGTCTACACGTATAACTGCACTGTTCGTGGTTAGCCCGTTTCTTAAACTATTACAGCATGACCACATGGAGGCTATTTAGCATTAGCATTAAGCTAGCAGACTGGAAGTCTAAGCCATGTGGTTGTTGTCATTATTTTCTTTATTTTCTTGTTTCAACTGACTGGGAATGGCATTAAACAGCTTGAAGCCTTGTTTTGAACACTTTAGGAATAAATGTAAAATAGTATTCAGAAAAATATATACTCAAGTAAAGCACAGAAAAATCTATTTCGGCACAGAAACACATCATTTGTGTTTTGTGTACCATGGACATCAACTCTATTCTTAATTGTTACATCAGGTCTAATAATATTACACTGTGTGTGTGTGTGTGTGTGTGTGTGTGTGTGTGTGTGTGTGTGTGTGTGTTTTTCCTCAACAGGATTTCAGTGATGTCACCCGCATGAGGTCATCGGCATCCAGGAAGGAAGCGTTGAGGTGAGGAGTCTTCTTCATCATCTTCATGTTGATTGGATGGGTGGCAGTGACCTAATAGCCGCAAAAAGCAATGAAGTCATCCACACTGACTCATATGCCCACATGACAGCAACATTAGGTCCAGTGCTAACTAGATGTGGACAAACACATTTTGGATTGTGGTTTAATTAGGTGTTTTTTCAAGTATTGTTGTTTTTTATTTGTTATTATTATTTATTGTAGGTTTTTACTATATTTTTGAAAGACATATTTTATACCTCTTCATGTTTCATTATATTTCGGATGGTATTTGGGGTTTACGTGATTGTATTTTGAGTTAAATCTCTCAAACTCTCTCTCTCTTTCTGTAAAAAAAAAAAAAAAAAATTCCAAAAAGTGCTGACTGAGCAAAAATTGACACTGTGCTGCAAATGTAAACTGTTGGTTATGGAAAGACTAAATGTAATATTAAGAATATTTACGACAAATGATATAATCCAAATATGAAAGTCCTGTTTCTCTTTGGTTTATTTTTCTTGATTTGAAATGGGTCAATATGACAGGCAACATAATTGTGGGGTTAAGCAGCCTCTGTGCAGCTCTTCAAATGGATCCAAAGTAATAAAAAAAAAAAAAAATGACTTCAAGTCTTTTTATATCACCATGATTCTCACTGTTCAAACTGTTACTGTTGCACACATTGGCTAGGAAGATGAAAAACTATTGATGTTGCACTTAAAAAAACACACACACCTACACACATTTAAGATTTTATCATTTTTATCATCTCATTATATTACATAGAAAATAGAGTATATTTGAGAGTCATAGGCGGCGTACTGTGGTGTGTTGTTCCTGTGGTTTTATATACAGAACAGTTTTTATTTGATTTTTTTAAGAGGCATTTTATTGTCTTCGCATTTTTATCACTGCTTATTTTTTACTCATCTGTAGAGTGCTATGACTGAAAGCCTCTTAAACATACACATTTATTTTTCATTAATACATTAATTTTTTCTCAATTTTAATGCAATTTTAATTATTGATTTTTTATGTTAATTTGATTGTGAATATTATGGGCACGCAAGATCATTTAAAAGAAAAAATAAGCATAAATAATATGAAATTGAAAATTGAATTTAAAATACTTTATTTCATGTGAAACTAAATGAAATTTTATTTTATTACTACGACTACTACTAATACTAAGAATCATAATAATAATGAGTTTCTAGAATTAGCTGTCAGATATATGTCCCCTCCTTCTGATGTGTTGCATACAAGCAGAGTCGCCCCAACCCAAAAAAAATAATTTTACTGCCATCCAAACTGAGCATGATTTGACATTTTACTCACTTCTCTTTGTGTGGGGGTACCTAATGAAAGGTCCCATGAGTCTATCCCCCCCCACTACTGAGAGTCGGTGTCCGGCCTATTTAACTGTAGCTCGTCGCCACACACAAAACCAACATTTGCATCAGGGCTAAGCGACTATAATGTTGCAAACGCTCAGCCGAAAAAAAGCTGAACTAGAAGCTTGACGTTGACCAAGCGGAGTTCTTTGTTGCAGGGAGTCTGACATCATCGCCCTGTTGAGCACGTGCTGCTTGGCCGAGTGATTCCCCTTTGTGTGGCGTGCGTCTTTTTACAATATTTAATTATGGTTGGGGAAAGGAAATTTGCCGGTGGACACTCAGAAGGGACACTCATGAAGTCGGGTGCATGTCTTTGCACATGGCTACTGTCCATGCGGATGGACAAGATAGTCTACGACAGTGGACAAAGAAAGGCCTTGTGTGTGTACGTGTGTGTGTGTGTGCGTGTGCGCGTGTGCGTGCAAATGTGGGGGGACAGTAACCCAAAGATGCCTTTCATCGTCAGAGAGGGAGGGAGGAAAGGACAGTGGGGACCACTCTGACGGCCAGATGGTCCCAATCAGTAACCTGACCTCACTTGTACTTTCACAAGTATCCTGTAACTCAGACAACACACACACACACACACGCGCAAAACCCTTTGAGCATTTATTCAATTTCTTTGATATACAGTATATAGGCAATTCAGCACACTTGTACAACAACTAGGACACACTAACAGAAACTAAGAATGTAATGTTTTTCCACCCCTGACGTCACTTTTGGCTTACTAGTTTGCCATTAAAACTGACTAGTAAACTATGCTGTACATAACATTGCTAAGCCCAAGTAGTTGACCTATGTCACACACCCTACAAGCACACTGTTTGTCCTCACCAGCAGGACAACTTTTGGCAGACTAGTAGAACGTCTTCCGAGTTATGATTTTTATTCTACTAGTGCTACTTTTAATCTAGCAGTATGCTAATTGCGTTAAGTATAACCATACTAGTAATCGCCTGTGCTGCACAAGGTCTAACTAGTAGCCTCCTGAAGCTGACTAGTATAACCCTGACTAGTATAACCCATAATGTCTACTGGTAGTTTTGCCTCACTAGTAATATGCAGGGCTCTATTTTCATGGCCCATTGCTAGTGCGTCCTGATTTTTGCGTGAGCATAAAACTCATTGTTTTTGTTGTCCAGTTCGGCAGATTAGTTTGAAGTCAAACAGGCCGGTGTGGCAGAAGAAGTGTCTTGGAGATGTACATTGTGGAGTGACAATTTATCCATTCATCCGTCCATTTTCTGATCCGCTAATCCTCACAAGGAGCGTATCCCAGCTGTCTTCGGACAGTAGGCGAGGTAAACCCTGAACTGGTTGCCAGCCAATCGCAGGGCAAAAATAGACGAACAACAATTCGCACTTACAATCACACCTAGGGACAATTTAGAGTGTTGCAATAACCTGCAATGCATGTTTTTGAAATATGGGAGGAAACCAGAGGACCCGGAGAAAACCCACGCAGGCACAGGGAGAACATGCAAACTCCACATAGGAAGGCTGGAGCCGGGTTCGAACCTTGCATCTCTGCACTGTGAGGCGGACGTGCTAACCAGTCGTCCACCGCACCGCCCGAGTGACAATTTAGTGGCAGAAAATCAATCTAAAACTTACATCTGCTCAGACGGTGTAACACCAGCGCAGGGTAGATAGCTGGTCTAATGTGACGTAGTTCATTTATGAATATGTGAACAGCGGGCATCAAACCCCCTGAATCATTGTACTGTATCTTTTAAAATCGTGCCACTGTGGGTGGGGGCAGTCAAGACTCTGGTGTGCTGAATTTAAGGGAATGAAAGGAGTTCCTTTGATTGGTCATGCTTAAAGTCAGCTGTGACCACTCCAACAGCGGCGCAGCCCTCCCTCTTTCCTCCTCCTTGCACTCAACTGAGATACACCACACACCGTGCAGTTATGGCTTACTAGTATGCCAAATTTGTTCTAGAAGCGTGCAGAAATTATCGACAGTGGGGGGAGGTGAGCACAAGGCTTACTTGTGCATGGACTTTTTTTAAATTGGACATCAAGGATATAGTGAGGAAACAAAAGATCCAATGGCTTTCTGTAGCTATACTCGTATGCCAAAAGCGGCACTCATGGAGGAGAAAAAAATTTACTCGTAAAAGAGTGGTTGTAGTCAAGGCAGAAACCTGATCATGGGTGTCCGTATTGATTTGGTCTCTCCTGTCGCAGTCCCACCTCCCCTTTCCTTCTCGTAGAGTCACGCGACCTCTTGGACAAACGACACTTCACCCATCGCCCAATCCCAGAGTTTGAGGATTGGGGGCAGAATGGTGGGATTCCCTCCCCCTTACCCCCTCTGCGACTGCATGCATCACGCCATTCTGATCTCCTCCTGCTGCTATTTTTTTCTGGGGGGGGGGTAGTTACAAGGGGGGGGGGCTTTAATCCCGTTCTCACACCAACACACGCACACTCGACCCCCAGGAGAAGCCTTTCCCCGACTGGCTCCTCCCATTTGCCCACATCTAGACTGTGATTATACACCTGCTCCATATTTACACGTTTTCTTTTCTTGCCACAATGCAATTTCAATGGAACTTCTATTTATAATCTTAATTTCGGAGTTGGCTGCCATTAAGTTCGAGTCCCTGTTTCACATTGCCGTTCATTTCATTTTCAGTTCCACTCCTGGGTCAACAGGGTAAAAAGGGCAATCAAATGTTGTTTTTGATTAAATAAAAGATTTTTTGTTTCTGTTTAAGAAAATGCTACACATTCAACCACAAATCCGATGGATATTTGTATTTACCTTTACTATCAGCGATAACACCAACATTATTTTTAAACACTGTGATACAGTATATTTTTTTAAGTGTGGAAAAAAAATTCCAAGATTTTCTTTTTAACAGCACTTTTATTTGACTGTCACGCAGGTCTAAAAGTTGTTCATTTTAATTAAATTTTATATTTATCATCCCATAAAAAAACAAAAAGCGTGAATGCTAACATCTTGTGTGCGATAGCAGTTCAGTTTTGTGCAGTTTTCTTTGGGATATTTTTGGTGATTTTCTAAAAAAAAATGTTACTACATTTCGGGTGTCACTCATTTCTTGACGTATAACAGCTCAAAAGTCTTTAAAAAAATTATTCTTATAATACTGCACAAAACATTTTAATCACAGGGTGCATGATATCCCTCACGTTTGCTATCAGATAAGTTTGAATGTAAACAAACAACTGCAACTCTTCTGTCCCATTTAGTCCTCTCTCTCTCACTTCAACTGACTTTGTTTTAGCGTTGGCTCTTGTCCCTTACCATATCCCCTCGAAGATGCATTCTTTGCCAAATGGAGAGGATCTCAGTCAGATCAATATTGGGGTAAATCTCCTCATGGTTGTAGCGTTGTAAACAAGCGGGAAAATTCCAATAGAGCCAAAATTCTCCACCACATAAAATACCTTGGCCAAAAACTACACACATCCCAGCGTGAAAGTAACGGAGTTGTTGTAACAGGCTCCAAAAAAATCTCTCTGCCAAAGAATATCACGGCCAGAAATGCTGAAACAGTCCAAAACTGGTTAGCACAATGTGCAATGAACATTAAATGACAAAAAAAAAGGTGGAAAAGTACAAATTGGGGAGAAAACTAGCAGAGATGTTGTAACAGGCCACCAACTCATCCGTCCCTCGTTTGCCATTCAATCTTTCATTTTTATTGTATTTGGACAAGTTTCTTGAAGTAAGGTGGACCAAAATGGTAAAAGGGTGAGGATATTTCTATTTATTTTAAACTTACCTTTAGAATTTATGGTAGGTTTTTTTATGATTGAAATATAGTAACTTCTCACCTGCAGTGGCAGCTCTTAAATTTTGTGCGATTTTTTTAAACGGATGTTTTTCTTGAGAATTTTGGTGGCTTTTAGGTGCCTCTCCCAACCCCCCCCCCCCACACACACACCCAAGAGTCAACTCGAAATGTGTGTGTTCCACAAGTGTACATCATTTCCATAGTACAGTGGCCCAAAAGAGTAAAATAAAGTGGATGTATTTCAAATGACTTTTCTTTCAATAGATTTTTCCTTAAAATTTACGTGACTTAAAAAAAAAAATTCAGGTGCTTGTTTTTTTGTCTTTCTCTCAAGAGTCAACTGGAAGGTTGTGTGTTTCGGCTGCAAAAACTTCAAAAGTACATCACCGTGTGGCAGCAGACGAGAATTGTCAAGTCAAACTTAATGTCCGTTCCAAGAAAAAAAAAATCCTCTTTACGTAATTCCTGGAAGGTTGTGTGTTTCGGCTGCAAAAACTTCAAAAGTACATCACCGTGTGGCAGCAGACGAGAATTGTCAAGTCAAACTTAATGTCCGTTCCAAGAAAAAAAAATCCTCTTTACGTAATTCCCCTCGAACGTAGAAAGGTGCCATCACACATTGCCGCCCTGGAGAATTGTTCATCATCCCTTTTTTTTTTCAAACAAAATGCTGTGCTGAAATGGAGAGGAGCCTTTTTTTATTTAACGTGCGTGGAGATGGAAAACATTTTAGTGATGAGGAGGAGGAGGATGAAGAGGGAGGGAGCAAGGCTTATGAGCTTGAGAGTGTCATGTTGCTCATGCAGAGTTTGCCTTGTCATTCACATCCTTGTGCACACACATGGCCAACCTTGACTTTGACTCTGAGGAATAAAACAAAGAGGTGGGGGGAGACCAAAAAAAAAAAAAAGCACGTGTAGTTCCTGTACTTCTGTTCGAAAAACGTACGTGCAAAAGGCTTTTGTCTGTGGAAGGCGGTTGAGGGGGTCTTTTGTGTGCTCCCACCAACATGCCGTCAGGCGTGGCTTGTGTGCGAGGACATCTTGTTGGGGAGTCTGAAGCAACGGGTGCGCTTCTTTTGTTCGCCGGCACGGCTGCTGCTTCTGCAAAACGCTTTTTTAATTTTTTTTTAGGGAACTGGATGTACGGATGGCCGTATACGACCCCGTACTCGCCCCCGCCTCCTACATAGGCTCTGCAGTCTGCCAACTCCCTTCCCCCAAGTATATATTATATAAATATATATACAGACGCCGCCCCCCCCCACCTCAACCCCTCCCCCTCCTCCTGTGCCAGACACCCTCTAGTCTATACATAACATCCTCATGCGGAGACGACAACGTGGTGCCGCAAAGCGTGGCTACACGAGGTGGGCGCACCGCCCCCCCCCACACACACAATATCCTCAACAACCCACCATCCATCCTCACTATAGGATTACTATTAAGAAAAATACTAGTACAAACGTGAAGAGGACTAAAGTTGACGTCATCCTTTCCCATGGGCATGGAAGCTGATTCCCTGTTTCTTATTTCTTTCCAGTGGATTAGCCAAACTACAATAATCAAATATTCATCTTCACGAATTTAATATTTATATTGTAAGGGAGGGAAAAAGTACAAATATGATGGAGACTTAAATGGACGTCAGAAGCTGTTTCTCTATTTTTCTAAACAACAAAGAGGGGAAAAGTGTAACTATCCCAATATTTTTTTCATGTTTTTACTGATGGGCGTGGAGGGGGGGGGGGCTAAAACCCCCATTCAACCTCACTAAGTATTATTTCTATTAATGAAAATAAATAATAATTATAATAATAGTCCGAAAATTATGACACTCCTTCCCAGCACCTAAATTCTGTTGTTTCAGAGAACAAAAATGCTGATTATCCATATAATAATACAGAACATCACATGGTTCTTTTGGAGCATGAAGATGAGGAGGGGAGCGGCTTGTAGGAGCCAGACTGGGTGGAGCGTCGCCCCCACCCACCCCCCATTCAGTCATCCACCCAGTGCCCCCATGCCCCCCACACCCGAGCCAACGGCAAATCCAACCCGGGAAGAGCGCGCAGTCGCCGGCCTTGTTCTCCTCGCGTGTCCCGTCCGCCCCTGGAGCTCGCCGGCGAGCTAACTGGGAAGTAGTAGTGTGGGGGTCCAGGGGGCGAGGGGAGGACTGTTGGGGGGCGGGGTACGAGGGAGGGAGGGTCGGCTGGGTGGCTGGTGGGTCGGTCCATGGGAGGGACTAGCGCAGAAAAAGAGGAGGGGGGGCGGTGGAAGGAGGCGTCTGCGAGGAGGCTGTTTCTCTCTCCAGTCTCTTCCCCGTCGTCTTTGTCTCGCGCCACTCTTTTGTTTAGCCATGCCGAGCCTGCTGGTGCTTGCAGGGATCATGGAGAAAAACGGGGGCTACGGCGCCGATCTAGCCGGCTCCGGCTTCGGGGGGGAGGCGGGTCTGCTGGGGCCCCCAGACGACGACGAGGAAGACTCCCGCGCCCTAAGGGTCGCGCTCGGCCAGCTGTCGCTCCTGGGGCTCGGCGAGGGCGAGGACGGTGGAGGAGGAGGAGGTGGAGGAGGTGGTGGAGGTAGTGTTGTTATCGGCGGTGGTGGAGCTCCGACGAGCGGAGTGCAAGACCGGAGCAACAACAACAACAACAACCACCACAACAGTGGAGGAGGAGGAATTGGGGGAATCGGCGGACTTGGAGGCGGAGGGGACGCGTCGATCCTCCAAGGCAAGAGCAAGTTGTGCGCCCTGTACGAGAGCTCGTCCGGGGAGCCCAAAGGACGCGGCTGCAACATCACCGAATGCGTCCCGGTACCCAGCTCCGAGCATGTTGCTGAAATAGTGGGCAGGCAAGGTAAATCCCCCCCCGAAAATAAAAAAAAAGAAGCATGCTTTCTTTGCAAACTTTTTTTTGTTCCGATGTTACCTTTAACAAAGAAAAGGGAGTGGTGGTAGTGTTTTTTTTTCTGGGTACCCCCCTCCCCTTATTTCTCCTTTTCCATGAGGCATCAGCCTCCCACTTTTCCTGCTTCATAAGTTCCATCACCATCCAGGAGCTTTTCTTAATTTATTTTTGATGATTTGTTCATTTTATCTGATATCCTTTTTCGAAGCAATCGTGTAGTGAAGCCAGAGTCTGCTGCATGATTCCACAATCCAACGCCATCAATGTCAGCGGAGCCTTGGCTTCCTTTGTCGTCTGGGACGCGCCAGACTGTTCAAAAGGCAACGTGCTGTTGCGAGGAGGGCGGTGGGGAGAGAGGGTGGGTGGCTGAGTGGGTGAAGGTTGGGGGGTGGTTATGGGTGAGGGCTGGCAGTGTGGAGAAAGGAGGTCTGGCTTCCACCATGTTCTGCCTGGGATGATGTTTGGGGGTGGGGGGGGGGGGCTTGTCTATATGGCCCACTGACACATTTGGACAAAGGAAGCGAGCCATCCAGTCAGTCAGCCAGGGTAAACATGTCATATTATTGCTATTTTCCGTGAGAATTTTTCTCCGTTTTTGAATTACCCAATGTTTATGTACAGTTAAAAAAAAAAGTTGAGTGAAGTCAAAATGTCAAGGCAACAAACCAATAAAAAAATTCAGTGGGGCAATTCAACGAAATATTTTATGTTTTGCGAATGTCAAAATGGTCTTTCTCACCTTTTCAACAGAGAAATTAAGAGTTGACAGAAGTAATTGTCCTCCAATTGAAAGATATACGTGAAAACAGCTCAGCAAATTGTTTTGGAGTGAGAACTTGCTTGCTTTGTTGTGCTAACGCTGTGGCCGTTAATGTCAATAATTTATATTTTCAAGTGGTTCCAACTTAAATTACTGTTTTAGCCCCCCCCCCCCCCCAATAAATACAAGTTGTGTTTTTACAGTGTGGTGATTTAATTTTCAGGGATGCCACTATGATCAGGGCTCCTTTCATTAAGTACGGTGGCCGAAAACATAACAAGATGTGATTAATAAAAGCATTAAAATGCCAATGGGAATTCTGAACTTTTGGGCAATTTTAGACAGCATCCAAATTGTACGATATTTAGACTAATGAGTGCCCGAACAAACCTAATGTGTTTTATGTGGACGTCACGAGGACAAGTTCTGACGAATTTATTTAAGTATGGGAGCACAAAGGCTAAAAAAGAAATTCCTAAAAAAAATTGACAACTTGTTTCCTCACACTTTTAGCACGAAAGGCGGGATAAGAAAACAAAACAAAACAAAGGTAAAAATTTGGGTCAGTTTCTCATTTGTATAAAGTTTCAAGCAGTTTGAATTATCAAGGATTGCAACAATGACCATGGCTCATTTCATTAAGTACTCTGGGCCGAAAGCGTTATTTAAAAAAAAGTCAAAATTGCTCTATATTTTAGCGAATGGATGGACACATGCCCCAAAAAAAAATCATCTGACTTCTTTAAACTAATTTATTTAAGAAGAGTGGCCCAAAAGGGTCAACAGATGTGACAAAAACATTTTTTTTCAAAAACATTACAAATGTGATATGTGATTGAAGTTAAAATTGGAAACTTCTGTCCAATTTTAGGAGGAATGACTTCTTTGAACTAACCCCAGCAGAGATCAACTTTCAATGGCTGACAAAGTGTTCTTCTTCTGATAGCAAACTAATTGCGACTCAACAGTGCCTCTGCTGGTCATGACATGCAAGTGCAAAATGTCATTCATCCATTATGAAATTGGTACAATCAAATTGGTCGGATTGACTCTATTAGTTGATGATTTTCATTGTCCCTGCGACAAAAAGTTCTATTTCATACAATATTGTGTGTGTTTCATGAGTTTCAAAAAGTTATTTTTTATTCTTTAATGTATATTTCTATATTACCTAATTACTAGTTGTTAGATAAACTAACAGAGGTGACACACTTATTACTGCTGTTCAGTTAGACACAAACACACAAAAACGTACTTCTTTTGTGCCAAATGAAAAAAAAAAGGCATTTTAGAAAAAAGTAGCACTACATTTTATGACACCTGAACCCTTACGGGCCACCATCCATATTTTTTTGTGGCATCCTTATATTGATTCAATGAAACGCTTTCTTAATGTAAAACTTTGCACTTTCCGGCCACTATTCTTCACAAAATAAGTCCTAGTGAGTGTACATAAGACACATTACCACATTCCTCGGGGTATTGAGAAAGCAACCAACATTCTGAGGAAAAATTTCTACCAAAATTGCATCAATATGCCGAATTCCAACTGCTATCACACACAAAACATTTTAATCACACATTTTCCCCATCCTTTTTGGGCCTCATACAATCAAGCAATTATTGAAAAAAAAAATTGCGATTCTGGAATCCCTCAAACAACAAAAACTCAGTACAATTTTTTTAAAAACTAAATTAATTAAAATGCCCTTTAAAAAAATATGCAGCATTCCAACCGCCAAAACTTGTTAATCTGACCTTTTTTTTTACTGCTCTTTTTGAGCCTGCACACAATCAAGCAATTAATTAAAAAAAGTCAGAGTGATTGCGGCATCTCTCAAACAACAAAAACTCCGTACAAATTGGCTAAAAACCAAATTTATTAGGATGCCCTTTTTAAAAATCATTTCAGGCCACTCTATGTCCGGAAATGAGTCAAAAGAAGTCCCACGGACACATCCCTCTGTCCATTCGGAAACAAAAACATTCTTAGGAACAAGCATTCCTCAAAAGGATTTCAACTGTCACCTCACACACAATGTTGGCATGTGGTGATCTTTTGCATTGTGTAATTTGGAAATGAAACAAAATTGTACAACGCTATAGAGCATCATATACTAACATCTGGTGTGGTGTGGCCGTCACAACATTTTACAGAATATTTTTTGACAAAGAATATTTGGTTCAGAATGGGTGGTGGTTTTCATTTCAGTGAACTGTATCGTCACCTCTATAAAAATCCCGACATATCAGTAAGACAATTCAGAAATTTGTGAATGATTACCAACATAGTCAAAGATTGTTACAATCAAAACAATAATGGCAGAGCTGAGGTTTTTGATGCTAACTTCTCGACTGTTTATTTACAAAATGTTATATGTGTAGCGTGTCTTTACATTGCCAATTAGTGGCCGGGCATGCACATTACAAAATTTTCAGTCATTTTTAACACCCATGATCTGAACCGCTGTATTCTCTCGAGGGTCGATGGTGTGCTTAGAGCCTATCCCAGATGACTACGGCCAGTGGGCGGGGTACACCCAAACGCAGGGCACACATAAGCAAATAATAATTCGCGCTCACAATCACACCTAGGAACAATTTAGAGTGAACAATTAACCCAACGTGCATGTTTTTGGAATGTGCGAGGAAACCGGAGGACCCGGAGAAAACCCACACGGGCATGGGGAGAACATGCAAACTCCACACAGGAAAGCCGGGGCCCCGAATCGAACCCTGTGCACTGTGAGGCATACTTGCCATTGTATATTTAAATTCCCTATTAAGAGACAACCTTCAAAGTTGTTAATTCCTGCTTTAAACCCATTCATTCAAATACGCGACTGTAACTCCCATGGAAAATTTGCAAAATGAAAATTCACAGAATTTCAGAGCCCTATGTTTTAATGGTATGTTGTTGTCAACATACACATCACCGAGCAATTTGGCGTACTTCCACTTACATCATTTGGAACGTTCCCATCGTTCCAAATGAAGCATCTCGAATGACTGTAAATTCTTGTTGTGTGATTGATTAATCTCTGCCCCTGTAATTGTCTAATTGGGACACTCATTTTGTACTGATTAAAAGGCGGCGTGCAGGAATGTGTTCCTCCGTGCTCCTCTGCGACACTGTCGCGTCGATTAGCCTCATTAAACCACCAGCACGGCCGGCTGGGGTGCCTCCACGGGTGTTTGGAGTTGTCGGGTTCGAATGGGGGGGAAAAAAAACAAAAACAAATCCCCAAAGCGTCTCTTTCCTTCTGGCGTATGGAAAAGAGCTGCCGATTCGTGCGCAGGTCCCTTTAAGAAAGGCCTGACCAGTCAATAACCAGGGCGCTGGCTCCCTCTGTTTCTCAATGGCCGGCTGAGTGAATGCATGAAAATATCAAACTGGCCTCACCGCAGATTCACAAAATAGGCGTGAATCCCTCCACCACCACCTCCACCAACGAATGAGCGGACGTAGAGCAACAGCTGGGCCAAAAAAGCAAGCTGCGAGTGGCCCGGTCGCAAGTTCAAGGGGAGGTCAAAACTCTGAAGGATGACCGTGATGCTGCAAATAGATCTGCAGTGGTTCCTCGGGCCCACCACATCAGTAGTAAAGAAAGTGTTCGCTTTGGAAGTGCTCAAACGCGGCCGTTCTCAATAATCATACGCCAAAGGGTTTGATCTGGCCATCATGAAGTTGGCTTGTTTGTTATCAGTAAACGTACCAAAAACAACAACAACAAATGTTTAACCTGTTCAGGGTAACCTGGTGTAAATTCTGGATGACTGTGGTGTGACAAGCAAAGCAGGGTGCCGGGTTCTGTCTATCACAGGGGGAAAAAAAATTCCAAACCCACCCACAAGAGGTGAAGATTCATAATATCCCATGACGGTGGTGCTTTGACAGCAAAATATGTTTTTGAGGTGAAACCTGGTGACAAAATTTTGAGAACCACTGCTTTAGACAGTCTTTTGCCTCATTAAAAAAAACCAAAAAACCACAAGCAAAAAAAAAAAAAGCAAGGCAAGCTTCCTGTCTTGAGGTTGTTTGGACAGACCACCTAACCAAGTCACGTTGCATGAACTGATGAAGCATTCATAGACGAGAGACGAAACGTCTTTGAAAGCAAACAAAGCAGTCCAGTTGCGATCTGTCCCGGTTTGGTTCGGAAAGACACCGAACCAATTTTGCTTGCATGACCTAATGAAGACTTCTCAGATTAGAGGTGAAACATCGACGACAAACAGAGCAGTCCAGTTACGATTAATTCAATGCCCTGAGAAAGAAATGACCTGGACAAACGAGAATATCCACAATCAGTTTTTTGAAACTGTTTTGTCGGTGTGTCTGTAGGTTGTAAGATAAAAGCCTTGCGGGCCAAGACCAACACCTACATCAAGACCCCCGTGCGAGGCGAGGAGCCGGTGTTCTTGATCACCGGCCGCAAGGAGGACGTGGCCCTGGCCCGTCGCGAGATCATATCCGCCGCCGAGCACTTCTCCATGCTCAGGGCATCGCGCAACAAGCTGGGCGTGTCCTTCAGCGGCTCCCCGCCCACCCCGCTCCCGGGGCAGACCACCATCCAGGTGAGGGTGCCGTACCGAGTGGTGGGGCTGGTGGTGGGCCCCAAAGGCTCCACCATCAAGCGCATCCAGCAGCAGACCTGCACGTACATCGTCACGCCGAGCCGGGACCGGGACCCCGTCTTCGAGATCACGGGCTCGCCCAGCAATGCCGAGCGAGCCCGCGAGGAGATTGAGGCGCACATCGCCTTCCGGACGGGAGGACTGCACGACCACAACAACGAGAACGACTGCCTGGGCCCCAACGGCGGCAGCAGTCCGGCGGGGAGCAGCGGAAGCGGCGGCGGCGGCGGCGGCCTGGAGAGTCGACTCCAGCAAGTGTGGGGCCTCCAGGGGGGCCAGCGGAAACCCCTTACCAGCAGCTACCGCCAAAACTTCTCGGACGCCCTCGGAGGCGGAGGGGGCGGCGAGGGAGTGGGGATCTACAATAAGGGAAATTTCTCCAGCTCTGGAGAAAAGCCTTGCTCCTTTTTTGGCTCGGAGGGCGCCCAGAGTTGGGGTGACCCCGACTACCCCAAGCAGATGGCTTTCTACGCCCAGCAGCGATCCAAGAGCTTCGGAGGGCTCCCGCTGCCCCTTACTAGACTCTCGCCGGGGCTCCCGGAGCCGCCGGCCAACTCGTCCGTCGGCGGCATGGCGTCGGGGTCGCCGCACGCGCAGGCTCGCCGCGCCCACAGCGAGCCCACCTCGGCAGGGGAGGGCGGCTTCCCAGGGCGGCTCCCCGTACCGGACTCGCCGCCGGCCGTGCGGGATTGCATGACCTGCTTTGAGAGCAAAGTGACGGCCGCCCTGGTGCCCTGCGGCCACAACCTCTTCTGCATGGAGTGCGCCATTCGAATCTGTGAGCTCAACCACCCCGAGTGTCCCGTGTGCCACACGCAGGTCTCTCAGGCCATCCGAATATTCTCCTAAGGAACCGCGTCCCTTTTTAGACAGCTTTTTTTTTTTTTTTCTTGGTCTCTCGTTTGTCGGTCGGCTAATTAGTTGCCCTTATTACAGTTGTTATTATTATTCTTATTCCTATAATTGCGATACATTTTTTCATTTTTCAGGAAAGTTTTAAAACAATCAAGCAGCTATTTTAGAAGGCACTGCTTGCTTTACTAAAAAGTATAAGAAATATTTTTCAGTTTTTCTTTTATATACATATATATGCATATATATTTTATAAAAATTTTGTTTATAAGAGAAGCATTGTACCTTTTCAGGTTTGGATTTTTTTTTTTCATCTTTTTTTTTTTTTTTTTTTTAAGATGGGACTGCTGCTGTTATTCCTAAACGCAGAATCACAGTGTAGGCCGACAAAATGTGAACATTTTATTACTGCTATTCCATTTTTTTTTTTTTTTTTTTGTATTATCACGTTACCATGAAGTGGGATTATATGGAAGGAGGATTGTTCAATTCACACCGCACCATACAATCATCTTGGGTCTAAAAGAGGGTTGTCAATCACACTTTTTGATGGTAAATGAATCCTTTTATTGTGCTTTGACAATAGAAAATGTGAATGGATTTTATTCAAAGCACTTCTTCAATAGTTATACTGTACTCTTGATTTTTTATTTTTTTTTTGTGGGGGGGCATTACATTATTATTCGCCATATTATCGGTGCCATTGTTTGGACCACCGGCTCCCAAAATGAGTGAATCTCATGGAGGAGGGGGCATTGATTCCGCAAGGCTTGCTGTAATCTGCTGAAAAGATTCAGTGATGCTCGGCTTCCCCTCGTGGTTTAAAGGACTCATTTTACTTGCCCAGGACCCCCCCCCTCCCCTCCCCCAAAAAAGCCTTTGAAATCGGACCAGTTGGCCTCGATGAACACCCCTCCAAACCACTATCTTTTTATTCTCAATTCGTCACTAGAAGAATGTGAGCAAAACATCATGCAGATAAGACGAGAATTTGTTTTTGTATTCGGCGTCTGGCTGGAGCAGGTGTGGGGTTATCTCGACTGGTCCCCCCGTTTTGTCTCCCTTCTTTGACCACATGTTCCCCTTCTCTGGGCTGCTTACAGTGTGACCCCCCCCAGGCCTCCCTCTCGGATTGAGGAGCGTTATTGTCTGTGGGTACTCGGACAGCGGGGCCTGGCGAGCGCTCTTTTGATAATTAAATGGGTTTGGTCCAGGTGCGGACCGGAGGGGGGAATTCAACCCCCGCTGTCGTGCCCAACCAAACCCCTCCCCCCCCTCACAACATACGAGATTTGAAAGCCACACTATTGATGAAAAACATGTGGCCATGTTAAAAAGAAGGCACTGTCACGAGGTGTAGTGTGAACGCCCCCAACCTCTCCAGCCAAACCCCTTTATTATAGCCACCCCCCCCACACACACACACACATATGCACCAACTGTGAAATTCAAAACAGGGTTTACGTGACAGATCCAAAAAGGCCTACCCATTGACCCCCCCACCCCAGCTACTGTAAGGGACATCCAGCAGCTGCCCCTTCGCTATGGACACTGGGGCCCCAGCCAATGGGAGACCCCCGGCCTCCTCCTCCCCACTCCCCTGCCCTAGCTTGAATGAAATCAGGCAATTGTAATTGACAGGAAAGCGGGGGAAACGCCCCATTTAACTCGCCCTCGCTCTGAATCAAATTATGCTCTGGGCCCAGCGCTGGGGGTGGGTGGTGTGGACAAATGGGTTATTGCGGGGCTTAAACTGTTGAATTAAAGAGGGGGGGGGGGGCTTGTCGGTCAGGGAGGCCATCTTGGGGTGGGAATGGTAAAGTCCACATTATGCCAAACGATACTATCTAATTACATGTTAAGGTGTGTGTTGATAGCCACGATACATCATGACATTTACAGCACAATAATGACGCTAATTAATAATAACACTCCCAACTTTTGCTGTCAAAGTATTGCCGGAAGAAATCGCGATCTGTCTCCAATCAGATTGATCGGCTGTCTAAGCTGCTTTCAGACACAAGGATGGCATATTTACATGATTCTGGGTGGCTGTAGTACTTCTTCAAAATATTGAGAACTGATGATTGGTGTATCCGTACTGTGATAATGGCGCAATGTATCATGATATCAATAGATCATCGTATCCCTATCGCCTCGGCTTAAGGCTTCAAACTGTTTTACAGGTAATGGGGATTGATACCCAATGATGCAATGTATTGCAATATCACTTCCGCTTGAGCCTTCAAACTGTTTTAAAGGTATCAGGTATCAATATTTTGCTGATGATACACTGTATTGCAATATCGAGACAAGAGGACACGTATCACCTCGGCTTGAGCCTTTAAACGGTTTTCAATTCTGTTTTTAAGGTATCAGGTATCGTGTGAGTCTACTGATACCGTGATAATGACGTGATGTATCGCGATATCGATATCTTGTACAACCCCCAGAGAAGACGTCTGTCTCATTTTAAATTGTGTCCCAGCCACATCCTTCCCTCAAGAGAACCCCCTTCCCCCGCCCCCCCCTGCCCGTGGCCTCCTCTTAAGAGCCAAACACAAAGCAAAGCACGTGTAACACTTACAAAATAAAAGTAACTTAAACTCTAGGACAAGATAGTAGAAATAAAGAGTATCATTCTATGGAGAAATTGCACAGCACAGTCATAAAAAAAATATTCTTAGTATTTTTGTTTTATGCCTTAATGTTACACTTTTTTTATTCCAATAATGCCATTCAGGCTGACACGTTGGCCTTCCATTGCACCAACCCCTTACAACAACTTTTCAAAGTTAAAGAATGTGAATCACACTTGGCTAAGGAGGGGGTTCAGGAAATGACACCCTTAACCCGTCTGTTATGTCGCGGGTCAAATTGACCCGTTTTATTGTGAAAGAGAAGTAATATGAAGTAGTTTTGGGGTTATGAAACGTCACATGTTGGCTGTGAAATGTTTGTAATGGAGCTAATGATGAGACTTTTTTTTCTGTTTCTGACCCTTTTGGCTAAATTACATGTCACGAGTCAATATGACCCAAGAACATCACTGCTGTTCCTGAAGACCTAACAGCAGGGTTAAAAAAAACACTTACACTTACAAAAATAAATATGAAGAGTAAAGCACCTTATTTACTAAGAGAAGAAGCGCATTTCATGAATACCAAACCGACCACTGATGGTGAAATATTTCCTAGAATCTAAGACATGCACATAAGGATTCCCTTTTGTTTTTGTTTATGTTGTATTTCTTGTCGTGATCACGACGAGAGAGGGCTGTCTCTTTATATCCGAGTATTCAAAGACTCTTTGTAAATAAATAACACATTTATTTGCTCATAGGACGTCCGGCTTCCACAAAGCTTTTACTACGCCAATTTAACACAGGAAAAAAAGAGAAAATATTATTATTATTATTATTATTATTGTGTTAGCCATCACTTTGACTCGAATATTAGCCTTCATGAGATAGATCCATAGGTTTAATACATATTATTTCAAGGGATTAACATAATCAGACGCTTCTATGATATCCCTTATGAAGCCTGTACTGTAAAAATCTGAAATACATAAAGGTTCTGATGAATTATATGTATAATAACAATAATAATAACAACCCCTGAATGAAGACACAATTTTCTATGTACATTAAGATGAAGCAATAAACGGTAATATTCCATTCAGACTACTTTGACTATTAGCATTTAAGCATTTGGTAGCTTGTTGCAGTTCTTTGATTCGTAAAAAACAAAAAACAAAAAAAAAACTTTCAGGAAAATTGCTGTGCTCTTCAGGGTCTTTTTTTGCGTGATATGTTGAATATTAAGCACTCGTTTCAGGATTTCTGAACGGCAATGAAAAGACGAGATTGGATGCTAACAATGCTAATGACGCTAACGAGTGTCTTAGCTTTTAGCGTAGCTTCCAGACTTCGCCTCTGCTTTGTATTACGGTCACATGTAGCCAAAGACCAACGTATGACCAGAGCCAACTTAGTAGTCTTCTAAATGCGATATCGTACATTGTGAAAGCAAATCTGTGAAAACATATCAGGTCTGGGACGCCCCACAATCGAGTCATGTTTCATGTGTGGGTCACTATTTCCACAATAGGGGTGACGTTAAAAACAAGGACAATTTTCAGAGTTGACTTTGTAGTTTTCCATTGCATGCTAACAAAATATTGTACCATATAGACTAAAAGTTAACCGCATACAAGAAGCTTTACGACCTCAAGGCTCACGTGGGGTTTTCCAAATGGTATACAGCATCGCAGCATAGTTAAAATTGTTACACAAAAATAAGATTGCTAAGAAATGTGCGTAAGTTTCATTTGTGCAGCTCGGGCCGGTATGAAATACTTTGGATCGAGACACGAGCGACTTGAAACGGGCGGCGGAAACGGCTCTCAGCGACATTCGAGTCGTTAATTTTTCCTTAGTATTATTTTTTACAATATTGTATTACGATTTTTCCGTTGTAGTCAAAATAGGAATTGTTGATGTTTTTTTTTTCTTGCTATGAAAACGGACGTATGCATTTATATAGAATCCCTTTGAAGGAGTGATAGGAAATCCATATTCTCAATGGATGCACTTAAGCAATTGTAACCAACTTTTTACAAAAATCGAGCAAGTAATGCATTTGAATGTATGAACAAAACTCAACCTAATGCACTCCTTATTTGTTTTATTACCAGCTTTAAGTTTTTGTTGTTTTTTTTTCCTTTGGATGGAGTTTAGGGGAAAGAATTTGTGACGTGTTTTCAATATATTTGAGTTGTTCAGGATACATTTATAGAAAGTAAGTTAAAATGACAAAGAAAAAAAACATTACAGTTTTGTCAAATCTATTTTGCTAACATTGGTTTTTATTTCTTAGAATGCAGAGAGTGGGGGCGGGGGGGTAAGGAAACAAAAAAAAGTCAGTATCTGGATGTTATTTAAGAAAACAAACCTATTTAAAAGACCTTTTGTTTTGTTTTTTAATTCAAATGACAAGAAGTTAATATATTTCTAAACAAGGTGGGGGAAGTCAGTTTCTACGTAAAAAAAAAAAAAAAAGTTTTATTTATGACAGTTATGGACGCCGGTCGACACTCGTGCCACGCCCACGACAGCATAGACTATTTTTTAAGAATTTGGAGATATTTTAGTCACAGAGCATCAATCTTGTGCCTCGATTATATTAGTATTATTATTATTACTATTATTATTCATGTCCTGCATTAGTAACTCCCCCTTGCCGCTCCCCCCCCCATATACACATATGCCTTCACCTGTAAGCCCATGGTACTGACTTACTGACTGCATTACACATTTCCTCTGTGATTCAAAATCCAAAATCAAGGTCTAAGGTCTTGACTGCATACAACTTGTCATTTTGGACATCGCCAACTCCACTTTTGTGTGTTTTTTTTTTCTTGGTTTGTTTTGGATTGACAGCAACAGAGCAGCTTGACGATGGCCGATTTTTTTTTTTTTTAGCGGGTTAGGCGGGCCCTCGAAGGCAAAACTTTGGCCTGGTGGTATTCAAGAGTAGTAGATCTATGTACTGTAACTAGATAGCAAACATAACACACAACAGGTTCATTACTGTACTAGTTTGCATGTATGTCGTGTGGTCACTTAGGGCTAGATGTTCATAGTTGGGAGCATTTTCGGAGGTCAAAAGGAGGCGAGTTTTGATGCCGGGCAGTCCCCACGCCGGGATATACGAACAGTGAGGCCACTTCCTTCAGTTTTGCTGAAAAACTCATCACAAATCAAGCTGAAGTTGTGTTTTCTGTTCAATACCTGGAAAGAATAGCGAGTACGTGAGAAGCCAATGTTTCAGTCTATGCAGGTGTGTCAAACTCATTTTGGTCGTGGCTAAGTGCCAGTTTTGGTTTCCCTCAGAAGGCCGGGAATGATTGAAAATTACATAATCACCTCGGCATATTATTACGTGTACTCAATTTGCCCTGCTCATATATATATATATATATATATATA